AAAAAAAAAATGTACAAAATGATGTAAAAATAAACTGTTATAAAAAAAAAAGTACTTAAAGCTTCTAATGCTGGGTTATTAGAAGTTATTATAACTTGGTTATAAGTTAATTCCCTTGTTGACTGACTCTATTAACACTGTTGACAGAAACACAAGATTCCAAGAAATGGAAATACAGTCTGTGTTCATGTACTGAAAGAATTAACATTGCTAAAATTGTATTTACATGAAATTAATTATTCAGTGTACTACAGAACATTCTTCATAGAAATAGAATTTTAAAAAATATAAAATTTACTTGCAACTACAAAAGACACCATAAAAGGCGTCAAATAGTCAAAAAGCATCCTGAGAAAAATAACATAAATGGAGGTGTCATACTCCCCAACTTCAATGTATTGCAAACAATATATTGTATTTTGTTTAGTAGTAAACAGAACAGCATACCGACATTAAAAAGAGATACATACAACTATAGAATGGAATTACAATTCCAGAAACAATATGAATAACTAAGGATCCAGGGGCATACAACAGAGAAAGTCTCTTCAATAAATTGTTTTGGGAAGAATGGACAGCTATGTGCAAAACAATGAAACTAAAACATTATCTCATCCCATATTCAAAAATTAAGCTAAAGTAGATTAAAGACTCAGATGTCAGGTCTAAAACTATGAAACACATAAAAGAAAACAGAGACTATATGATTTTTGACATCAGCCTTAGAGATGTATTTTGGGTCTCCACTCCAAAGGCAAGGGAAACAAAAATAAAAGTAAACATCTGAGGAGTGTGATCCTGGTCTCTAAAATCATATATAGTATTGTAAACTGACATTAATTTAATTATAGAAAAGTACAAAAAGAAGTAAAGGCATCAATAATGCCAAATTGAAAAAAAAAGAAAAACAAGTGGGACTATATCAAATAGAAAAGCTTCTATAGAGCAAAAGAATCTATCATTAAAATAAAAAGGCATCCGATTGAAAGGGAGAAGGCCTTTGTACATCATATATTTGACAAACGGTTAATATCCAAGTTTTAAAAAAAACATAAAATTCAATAACAGAGCATTAGTGCTTAAAATACATAATTCTATTTTAAGATGACATTAACAAAATATTCTAATAAAACTGACACAAAAAATATAATTCAGCAATTACAAAAGAGCTAAACTGGAGTTTATAATTAAGTTACTCTCATGTTTAAAAGTGTGATTTTGAAATAAATACTATTCCTAAGCTTTTCTGCTATTAGCCTTTTAGGTTTGGTTTAAAAACATGCTTACATTTTCAGTTGTGAGGAGGCATATAATGTTATAATCCATGTACTTGTTCAAGAGCCAATCGATCCTAAAATCTGAAGTATTCAATCAATCCATAAAGCAGGCAGAAAAAAATGTCAGATTAACTGTGGTAAATAGGACTCTACATAATATCAAAAACATATGATAGTTCGCTGCAGTTGGTAGTACTTTGAATGAACTGGTATCTCCTTTAAAAATAATTTCACCAGAACAGGTTAAGCAGGTAGACATTTTACCATTATCAAGTGCTTATATATTTATTTTGTGCTAACCTTACTCTTCTGAATGAACTAGATAGTGAGCTAACCACTAGTAATTTCATCACCAGGCAATCAAACCTGAAAGAAAGGAAGTCAATATTCCAATTACCATACGACTGCCTGACCCACTAAAATAGTTTCATCATAAATATATGATTAAAGTGAGTGTCACTAAGGCCAAGAGGCATCTCTTCTTCTAAGCTTTAGATTTGGACCAGAACTCCTGATACATGGAATAGGCCAACAGAACCTTGGGCTGCCACATATGCTTAGAACAGGTGGATGGGCATGACTAGTATTTCCTCTGCTCTTCTATTTGTAGAATTTATATGTGACAATCATTGAAAAATTCACCAATCCAATGGGGACAAATAATGACCCTTTAGCTTTTTGTATAGTTTTGGATGCCTAGCTTTTTATAAAGAAACAGAAACATCTATGTTAGGATATATAGTTTCTTAAGAAGTTTCCCCACTGCTCAGGCACTGCTTTCAATGCACAATGTATGTTCCCAGATTTAGGCTCTGGACGTCAGCTCTAGCCCACTCCATAGTTTCTCAATGTATCCTATCTGCAAGACTTTCACCTCAGTGACATTTCTCTCCACAAACTTTTGTTCATATCTTTATTGGCTCCATACTTTCTCACCCGACAAGGTGCCAAGCCTTTTTTTTAGAATCCCTGACCTCCTCCAGAACCAAAAACAATGGTTTTCAGATATTGGGAAATATATAGCATGGGACTGTAAAATATCTAAGAGAAACAAATGATGGAGCTCTTCAATTATCTCATCTTTTATCTAAAAAGAACTGTTAGGTCATCATGCAAGGAATGGGAATCGGTGCATAAAGTGGAGGTTTCACTGAGTTGAGAAAATAAAATTTAGTAATCAGAAACACCAAGATGATCTAAAATTATAGGTGAGTATAATGTAGAGGAGACAGATGGCACACACACACACATACACACACACACAAACATTCTGGTGATGTTTGGGAAGGTTATCCTTGAATCTTTGTCCAAGTTTGGCAAAGAACCAGTAAGAAGCAGACAGTACAATGTTTGGTGCTTACACAAAGTTTATGTTCCAGACAACTAGATGAAAAGCCTCCTATATAAAAAATATGACATAGGATTCTAAAAATGGTATTAACTTAGTAAAGAAGCAAGTTAGGTCCAGACAAAAGACTCCCCTTGTTCTACCTAATGACGCTTAAATTCTTCAAATAAATCAAAACATTTCTAAGTAACTAAATTTCATCCCTACAAAAACTCAAAAGTACTTAAAGCAATAAAATAAACATTGACAAAAAAAAAAACTAAAAACTTCACTCATGAAGAGACTGATCATTTAAATAGCACTGTATCTATTACAAAAAATTGAATTTGTCATCAAAAGCCTCTCCACAGAGAAAATTCCAGACCTCAATGGCTTCACTGGTGAATTTTATCACATATGGAAAAAAAAATTAACTATTTTACACTAAATATTTTTGAAAGGAGAAGAGGAGGAAACATTACACTTATTACTAAAGTAAGACAGGATAATATAGGGGAAAAGCCCCAAATTTTTAGCAAACTGAACACAGTTATAGATAAAAAAAGATTAATACTTGGCAACCAAATGGGGTTTATCCCAGGAATGCAAGGCTAACTAACAATTGAAAATCAATAAATGTAATTCACTATATTAAGAAACTGAAAAACAAAAACCAGGTAAATGTTTTCATAATAATAGGTAATTCATCTCTACAGACATACCACAAAACTGAGATGGTAACAAAAACATTTAAATTTATTGAATAAAAATCTTAAATTTATCTGTTAGCAAAACCTCTTAGTAATCAGTAATATAGTTAAAAAGTAAGAATATTTGTAGTTACTAAAGTCTAGTTGAAAAGTTACTAAAAGTCTATATATAAGTGCAGTATAGACATATGGATAAAAGACTTTATCACTATTATAATGAAACTAAAATGTAAAACAATATTCAAAATACCATCAACTCCACCTAAAAATAAAGACTGTTTTAAACCCTTATCAAAGAATAAGTCATTAGAAAATGGAGACAAATAACTCAATACTTGATTTTGGCTGTATATTACATTCTGCAATTTACAGTGAATTTACTTACAAGTTGTTATGCACTCTTGACTTGTTAGAGATAGAGATTTTGAAGACACTTTCTTGCTACCATGTATGGTTTTTGTGGAGAGTTCATTCAGTTTCCAGTGGGTCCAAAAACCTCTTTGAGGTTTTAAACCTGTTAATATAAAATATGCATTTAAACAAACAAATGAGAATTTTGAAAATATTATTTAATTTTGCAAAGCATTACACATTTCGTCTTAACAAAAATCTTGTGAGAACTATCAATATCTAAAATTTCATGTGAGGAATAATCTATATAGAAAAATTAGTATCTTATATGAAATAGTTAATTAGTAGAGTAAAATTCAATATTGCCTTATGACTCATAGATATAAATTAAGTTCACACATAGAAACTGTAAGTTAATTACTGTGAAAACATGGAAAGGACATAAGAATATTCAACAATATCAATACATATTATCTATTGTAAAATATTTATTAACAGTAATCTTGTAAATTTTTTTATATGGAAGAATATTTTACCTTAAAAGTTTGTGTGGCTTTAGCTTAAATATTAACATAATTGCATGGGATACAGCAAAAGCAGTATAAAGAGGAAAGTATATAGCATTACAGGCTTACATCAAGAAATAAGGCAGAATCCAAAGAAACAACCTAATCTCCAATCTCTAGAAACTAGAAAAAGATTAATAATAAAAAAACCCAAAACTAAAGTCAGTAGAAGGAACAATAAAAATTAAAGGAGAAATAACTGAAATAGAAATAAAAAAGACAATCCAGAAGATAAATGAAATCAAAAGTTGGTTCCTTGAAAAAACAAACCTCTAAGCTAGGCTTACAATGAAAAAGGAGAAAACTCAAGTAAGTAGGATCATAAATGAAAAACAAATACTTAGAATTTTAGAATCACCCAAAAACTAAAATAATAGAAAACTTAAACCAATTACAAGCAGTGAAGTTAAAGCTGTAATCAAAACCTACCCCTCCCCACAAAAAAACAAAAGCTCAAGACTGATAGCTTTACAAGCAAGTTCTACCAAACATTCACAGATGAACTGGTGCCTATCCTACAAACTCTTTCAAAAAAATTGAGAAAGAAGAAATACTACCAACACATTTTACAGAGTTAACATTATATTAATAGTAAAACCAAACAATGACAACACAAAAATAGAAAATTACAGCCCAATTTCCTTAATGAACATGGGTGCTAAAATCCTCAATTAAATCTTAGCATAACTAATTATACAATACATCAAAGGACTACACACCATTACCAAGTGGAATTTATTCCAGGGACACAAGATGGTTCAACATTTGAAAATTAATTATGTAATTCACAACATCAACAAAGAATAAAAACCATATGATCATATCAATAGATGCTGACAAATCATTTGAGAAAGTTCAACATTCAATTGTGTTGAAGGACCGAGAAAAACTCAAAATAAAAGGAATATAGCTTTAACATAACAAAAGCCACATATGACAAATCCACAGTGAACATCATTAATGGTGAAAAATTGAAAGCCTTCCCATTAAGATCCTGAACAAGAGAGAATGGCCACTCTCACCACTGCTTTTCAATATAATTCCATCTAGAGCAATTAGGGAAGACAAAAACATAAAGGAATTAAAATTGGGAAAGTAGAATAAAAATTATTATTTACAAATGATGTGATAATATATAGATAGAATCCTAAAATATCCACAGAACAAAAAAATCAAAATAAACTAGTTTAGCAAAGTAGCAGGATACAAAAATCAATACACAAAAATCAGTAGCCTTCTATATGAAAACAGTAAGTCTGAAGAGGAAGAAATTTTAAAAGCCATCTCCCATTTAAAGCTACACCAAAAACAAACAAACAAATAAATACCTAAACAGGAAGTGGAAGACCTACACCAAAAAATTTCCAAAACACTATTAAAAGAAACAGAAAAACACAAAGTAATAGACATTCCCTGTTCAGAATTCATTATCAAAATGACTATCCTACCAAAAGTAATTTACAGATTTAATGCAATTCCAATAAAAAATTTCAATAACATTTTTCACAGAAGTGGAACAAATATTATGAAATTCATATGGAATTACAAAAAACTACAAATAGTCAATGCTGTCCTACTAAAAGGGGGAAGAAGATAAGTATTACACTCTTAATTTCAAACTATACCACAAAGTCAAAATAATAAAACCAGCATGGTATTAGAACAAAAACAGACCCACAAACTAATGGAATTAAACTGAAAGCCCAAAAATAAAACCACACATGCACAGTCAACTAAGATATAACGAAGGAACAAAGAATACACAGTGGAACAAGGTAAACCTCTTCAGTAAAAGATGCTGGGAAATATGAACTGTCATATACAAAAAAATAAAGTATACTACTATCTCAAACCACATACAAAAATCAACTCAAAATGAATAAACGACTTGAAAGCATACAATATATAAAAGAAAACATAAGCAAAATGCTCCATGACATATTTGAGGACTCATCTCCAGATGCAAAGGAATAAAAGAGAAGGTAAACAACTGAGAAGGTAAACAACTGAGACTACATCAAACTAAAAAGCTGTACAGCAAAAGAAACAGTAACCAAAATGACACATCCCACTGAATGGGAGAAAATGTTTGCACACCTGAAATTTGCACAACTGATAAGGGACTGATAGTAAAGATATAAAAAGAGCTTGTACAACTCAACAAAAATGCAAACTAGACAGTCAAAATGGGCAGTATAGCTAATAAAACACTTTTCCAAAAAAGAAATGCAAGTTGCCAACAGATGTATAAACAAATGTCCAATATCATTTATTATCAAGGATCCTCAAAGCACTAAAAATGGTTCTACCATATGATCTAGCAGTAACACTCCTACTTGTCTACCCAAAGAACACAGAACACTAATTCAAAAGGAAACCTGCACCCCTGTGTTTATTGCAGCATTATTTACAATAGCTAAAATATTAAAAACAACCCAAATGCCCCCAAACAGAAAAATATATCAAAAAGTATTCACATGGACTCCTACTCAGCAATCAAAAAAGATAAACTCATGCCATTTGCAGCAACATGGATGGACCTGGAAGGGATTGTGCTAAGGAAAATAAGTCAGAAGGAAAATGATAAATATTGGATGGTTTACTTTATATGTAGAATATAGAGAAACCAAATAAAATATCAAAAAAATAAAGAGTAAATTTGCAAGCTGACCATAGATCAGCTTTATATAGCAAGGGAGTGCGAGTGAAAGGGGTCAACACAGGGGAAGGAAGGATACTAAAGAACTATGGAATGGATCATGGGTGCTATAGTGGTGGGAGAACTATGGGGACTACACCTGAGGGGAGAAATCAAATACTATACAAAATGAACAATGATATAAGAAAATAAATTTAATGAATAAGCATAAGAATTGGAAAAGAGTTATTAAAACTATATTAGCAGATGACATGATTTGTAAATGGAAAAGCCTGAGCAAGCAAAATTCGTTTTATCTAACACCAACCTTCACTTGATACAGTGTCGGCAAAATGATTCAGTAAGATAGTGGCCTATAACATTTACATACAAAAAAATTAATGATGTTCATATATAAAACACTATCCAGTTAGCAAATATAAGGGTAAGGAATCTCCACTTACAAATACACAATGTGGGAAGATTACATATTGGGAAATAACAAGAAATGTGTAAAAATGAATACAACTTTGAAACACCAAGACATGTCCAAGTAGACAAAAACAAATGGGAGAGACAATCCCTGTTCTTAGTAGGTTAAGACAATAAATATGTCATTTTTCCCTACCTGATTTGTAAATATAGCATAATCACAATAAAAATATCAATAAGAATTTTTAAAAGCTAGTCAAGTAGAAACTAAAGTTTATGTGTAGGGTAAATATGTTAGAGTTGCCAAATTAAAAACACTAGAAAGGAAAAACTATGGAAGGACTAGCCCCTATTAATGTAATAAAATAAAAAATCACATAATTGTCTCAGTAGATGTAGAAAGGGATTTGACAATATTAATATTAAAAAATTCTTAGGAAACTAAGAGAATTTCCTTAATCCAATATAAAGTGCCTTCCAAACAATATTATATCATACCTGAAAATTGATGGTGAAATATTGAATACTTTCTATTGAAAGCATTCAACCTTATTTATTTTAACTTAGATAAGAAAAGGTATTTTAAAATCGGTGTTAGTTTGCTTTGGAAAGACATGGAAACAACCCAAAGGCCCAAAAGTAGATGATTGGATTAAAATGTAGTATATATATATGCAATATCAGCAATCAAAAAAATAAAAACATGCCTTCTGCAGCAACATGGATGGAGCTGGAAAAGATCATGCTTAGTGAAATAAACCAGAAAGAAAAGGACAAATATCAGATGGTTCCACACATAGCAGGTATAAGGAACCAGGGGAGAAAATAATAATAATGAACAACTATGTACCAGAAACATTTTATGGGGGTGGGGTGGGGAATGGGATTAAAAACGGTGGGGGAAGGGAAGTACACTGTAATATGGTGATGGCATACAGGTGATGCGAAGCCCATGGGGATTACAACTGAGATGGAAAAGGCACAAAATGATGTAAAAATAACTATTATATTATTTTTTTTAAAATCTGTATTAGATTTGTGAAAGGTTGCCATTTGCTTAGCTTATAGATGGTCATTTTCCTGTGTCCTCATATGGCCTTTTCTCTCTGGACACACAATCCTAGTGCCTATAGTTTTACAAGGACATCACTTATATGATAACTAGGTTTACACATGTGACTTCACTAAAGCCTAATTATGTCTTTCAAAGTCCAATACCCATCTACAGTAACATTCTGAGGTATACTGGGGATTTAGACTTCAACATAATGAATTTGGGATGGGGGGAGAAATAATTCAGTCTATACCAGATTTTTTTGAAATTTGTTAGCTTTTTCATAAGTTGTTTTCATATGTTTTTTAATTGACTTAATACTGGGGAGTACAGCTTTACATCTTGATATGTATATAACACACAACCCACTACCATAGTTCTTATGCCATTCACCATTATTTGACTCCACCTACCCATTTCTCCCAACTCCCTAATGTGTCTCCTCTGGTAAACCCACCATGGATCTCTAAGAGTCCGAGAGATACTTCTGTTGTGTTTTATTAGTTCATTTACTTTGCTTATTTATATTCCACATAACAGAGAAACCATCTGGTATTTGTCTTCCACTTTCTGACTTACGTAGGTTAGCATAATCACCTCAAATTCCATGCATGTTATCATGAAAGGCAATATTTCATCTTTTAAAATAGCTAAATAGTATCCTATTAAGTATATATATGAAAACTTCTATCTAGACATCTGTAAATGGTCATTTAGGTTGTTTCATTATCTTGGCTACTGCATCTATTATTGTAAGAAACACAGAAATGTATACTTCTTTTCAAATTGTTTTCATATCCTTTGGACAAATACCTAGAAGGACATCTGCTACTTTCAGATTTAAGGCATCCCCATACTATTTTCTGTAGGTGTCACTAATTTACAGTTTTAACAATGTCCAAGAATTTCCTTTTCTCCATATCTTGCCAAAATTGCTGTTTCTGTTCTTTTTTTATATAAGCCACTCTCACAGGTATCAGATGGTTTCACTGTGGTTTTGATTTGTATTTCCTAAATAATGAGTGATGTTGAGCATTTTTTATCTATCTGTTGACCATTTATGTGTCTTCTTTGGAGAGACATCACTTTTTTTTTTTAAAGTATCCTCTATAAGAATGCTATGCTTCAACCTTTTCTTGTCTGAATTTGTTGGATTTTTCTCCTCAATTGGGAGAATTTTGTTTCTCTCAGTGTTGATGAAAGAGAAAGCTCTCAGTGTTATTTTCTAATCTTTACTTTTCAAGGTCTCACTCCATAAAATATGAACCATTTTATTATAGAAGTACTTCCCAAGTATTGACAAACCTATTTTAAAGGATCAGTCAAAATTTGGACTAAAAATTGACAAAAAAAAAATTTATAATTGAAGAGTTAATTGCTTCTGGCAGTCTACAATAGCAAAATCGAGTTAGAAAAAAAAAAAATGGGAAGGACATTCCAGGACCATGAACTTACACCTTAGTTTTAAACCCAAGTACCTAAATCTCTAGTTAAATGTTCTGGGTTAGATTTTATTTCTCTTCAGCCTTTCAGTCCTTCTACTCCTATGTACTTATAACAGGTAGTTCAAAAACATTTCTTTGATGATTGATTGTATGTACCATCAAGAACTCAGTTATTTCTAGAATATGCCCATTATTATTTACCAGCACTAACTATACCTGATAGGTGGGGGAGAGAGGACTACTATACTCCCAAATAAAAGCAATGATATAAACCAACACTACTTCAATAAAAAAGAATGTCAGCAGTATTCTAAAAGCAGTTTTAAAATATCTCTTCCAAAATACATGACATATATATGGCATGGCTTTCTGTGACAATTCAGTTTTCTATAATAACTTTACTGGCTATAAATTATTTGACTTTTAAAATAACTATTTTGGTATAACAAAATTTTTCATAACAAATTAATCATATTATTTTAAATCATAGTAATAATTATGACATGTCTTATAAGGCAAAAATCTACCAATTTTTTAATGGAGTAAAAGAACTATAATCCAAAATCAAAATATATATTCATGATGTAATGATATATTCATACCTGTCAACCAAAGACAAATGTTATTCCCTAGGTCTTCTTTAAATTCATCATTAAAGAGATTACTGGATTCTGGAAATGCTTCCTGAAATGTTGCATAGATAGCTTGTGCCAAACAATCAGGATACACCTACGAAAATAAGCCACTTAAGTAATAAAATGTTTTATATATTGTCTCAGCTACCAAAGAATTAAGTTTGTGAAACATCCCTTTTTTTTACAGCTTGCATTTGGCCATTTATTACCACTTTGTGTTTCTGATTGAGAAATATGAACAAAGCAGAGTTGGAAATAAAGCTAGTTGACCTGGCTATTTGTTAGCATTTTGTGAAAAAATTTTAAGCTGGAGAAAAAAGTGAAGTCAAGAAATTTTTTGATACTATACAATTATTTCACTTAACTTTGCAGTCATATTCTCCTACAATGTGAAATTTGCAATTAATTATAATAAAACTACACATATGTATTAACTGAAATACTATTAACTGACAGGTAAGATCATGTAAGATATATTATTTATTGACTTAATACACTTACACATTGGAATAAGATTATCACCATAGAGTTAACACTTTTGTTGTTACAAAATTATATTTTTGTGGTAAGAATAAAAGCTTATTTCTAAATAATTTAAGTCTGTTTAGATGAGTTAATATACTTAATAACTATTGTATTGTTTGTATAATAAAACAATGATCAGACATTAAGAAATATATAAAACTATCAGTATACTGTGACTTAAAATGCCTACGTCCCCTAAATTCCTTTCATGGAATGATTTATCACAGAAAGATATATTTTTATATTAAGTATTTTAAAAATCTATTTTGGCATTCTGTATTCACATAAGTATGAATCACTTATCCATTAATAATGTAAAATTCTAGAATTGGAAAGGATTTGGAGGTTCAATATCTAAGTCCCTAGAACCTGTAATGTATATACAGCAAAAGGGCTTTGCAGATGTCATTAATTTAAGGATATTGAGACAGGGAGGTTATCTTGGATTCACTAGTAGATCTAAAATGTAATCACACCTGTCCTTAGAAGAGGGAGCCTGAATAAAATTTTACTTTGGAATAGGAAAAAGTAATGATGGCAGAAGCAGAGACTGGAGTGATTATGACCGGAAGTCAAGGACTGGTGAATATCTGACACCAGAAGATAGAGCCAAGATTTTCACTTGGAACGTCTGAAACAAACTAGCCTTGTTGATATTTGATTTTTGCCCCCTAATGACTCATTCTGAAGACTGAGTTTCTATAGCTTTAAGACACTGAATCTCTGTTATTTTAAGTCACAAAGTTTATTACTTTGTTACAGCAACAATAGCCAGCCTGTGACTGGGTTCCACTTATAAGCTCTGGTCACCCTACCTTTTCACTTTCTGCCTTTGTCTCCACCCTTTAAACCAAGACACCCTTCTACTTCCCAGGGCTTATTTTGGTGCTGTCCAGCCAACAGGCATGGCTCTAGTATTAAAAAATGAGGAGGAGAATTGTCTGGGTAGAACAATATAGAAAAGGTCATCGATTTTTAGTTAATCTAGTTGTACTTTAACTTTCTGGTAAGTAATGGCATTCTTTGAGCAGCTCCACTGTTTTTTGGGCATGGGGAGTGTGATGGTCTTAAATCATGGTATGTTTAATTTAACTGACTGAACCATGATAATTTTTACTAACAGAAACAACCACATACTGTATTTGTAGATGTAAAATCACACTTATGTGATACTGATGATTAAAATCAAAGTGCTGAACAACGTGAAAAAGGAAAAGTTCTAAAATTTCTGTGAATATTTAATCTTTAGTAGATTACATTTAAAAGATTTTCCTAATTTTTTTTAAAGATTTATTTATTTATTCATACAGAACTGGGGTACAGGCCAGAGATGCGGAGGGTGAGAGGATTCACCAGAGACAGAGTGGGAAGCAGAACAGGCAGATTGACGAAGTACACTGCTAAGGGGAGCAGCGGGCGGGTCAGGAGAGGTCTGCCGCTCCATGTGGCCACCTCCGGGGCAGGCAGGGATCGAACTCATGCGGAAGTGGCTTTAGTTTCTCAGTGCAGTGCTTTAACCCACTGCACCACCAGGGAGGGCCGATTTTCCTAATGTTTAAGGTAATTTTCTGAAGCAATATCACTATGTAATATTGGAAGAAAGAAGTAAAAGCTATACCAATTTTCCTTAAATTAATTTAATTTTGTGCTGAATAGTGGGGCTTGACGATAAATTCTTGATTCTTAAATAGTAATACATTTCTCTTCTTAACTAATAAATAATAATAAAATCCCCACTTGTCTGAATGAATGAAAAACAGTGAAATTGATCAGTGAGCAATGAGGCTCCACGTTTACTTAGCAGCTCTGGAGGGACAGATCTGTAGGAGGCCTGGTTCTCAAGCATAGAAAAAGGGAAAGGAACATTATAAGAACATCAAACACAGCGCAAGGGGTTGAATCGCTCAGGTACACATCTGGTTTATTCTCAAATATAGTTCTAATCTTGATTAAACATCTTCTAATATCTCTTTGGAAAGATCTCAAAATAAGGACCCAGAAAAAAAATCAAGTCATGGCTTGAGAAGGGTTATGTATGTATTATCTATTAAAAGGTACATATATGCCAGTGAAGAACATCAGACCTTGTGTATGATTAGAAGTTGGAAAATGGAGCCTATGTATTGGTGTCACTACTTTCCTTTGTATACACATAAACAGGCCTCTCACTATTTTCATGTTTGTCCACATGAAATAGGCTTCACATTCTTTTCATTAATGCCCTATCTTAAAAGCTTGCTTGCTTTCATCAAGCCACACTGAGAGGCAAGGGCACACTCACCACGAAAGTATAGACTAGGTAAAAGATTATGGATAGGAAAAAAAATTTTTTTGTTATTTCTAGACAACTTAATTACCAAAAATCCTAACCACTTTATCCTGCAAATAAGGGGAAAAATATCAATGCTAGAGAATATACTGGTCTATTCTTTTAGAACACTATCCTACAAAACAATTTATGAATCATGGATCAAATCACCTCTCTATCTGCCAGATAACCCGGCTATAAACCTGAGAGACTAAGGTCTTGCCAGTATCACCAAAGGTAATTGGTAGCATATTCTGGACATGAGGCCCAGTCTTCTTTTTCCCAGGCCATTACTGGGTTCCTTCCATGACAGTGAATGTGTAAGACCTATCAAGACTGATCATGAATATCTGACAATTTAGGTTTGTTTATACTTTCATTGTGAAAGTAAAAAGTAATTATTTCATTTTATATTTGTTTAACTCATGAAAACATTTCCTAACTCCAACATATTTATTCTGATTTATAAATGTCAGCACAAAAAAGTATTTGAGTGTGGTTTTTGTTTTGAGCTGCTAGATGTTTAACTTTTAAAATATCCAATAAAATAATTACATATCTTCATTTCACATTATTGAAGAAAATAATTTAACTATTTTCATTAGTTTTAATATTGTTGTATACTGTTCTTTACCGTAAAGGGGCTGAGTCCTTAGGCATAATATAAATTTGTTTTCTTAAACAGATCAAAAGACATAGGATACAGTAAAAGAAAATGGTAAAAAAAGCACTTCGATATATAAAAGTCAATAGTCTTCAAATTATTAATTTATAAACAAAATGCCTATACTACACTAAATATATTGTGTAAGACTTCTATTTAAGGGAGTAAAATATTCTAAGGGAGAGCATAATTTTTTAAAATTTACATTACTCTATTCAGAAATTTTGCCATCAAAGTAACAAAATGTACTAACAGAGGTATAAATAAAATATTTTCTATTTTATTAGCTCTAAAATTAATTAGCATAACTGTTTATATCTATGCTCACCTGAAAAAAGGCATCCTTTCGACTTAGTGGTATGCTCATGAAAAGTATCACATAACTTTCTGAAATTCTATCAAACAAGAAATCTTGATTTTCTCTGTCAGGCTAACAAGATAAAACATGTGTAGAATTAAGATCATTAAAGTTACAATTTTTTAAAAAATGGAGTTTACTGCTTATATCTGTAAAAGTACCTACTTTTAAAGATTATAAATCTATAGTAGAATGAATATGGGTTTTGGAATTGTGTGTGTACAAATTTAAATGCTGTAATGAAATGCATTATCTGCCATTGCCATGGGTAAGTTAATTAAGTACTTGTTATCCCATTTGCCAAATGTAGGTAATGTATACATCACTTAAAGTAGTACAGTAAAATTAAATAAGGACAAGTATCTTGTTATATCTGTCAGTTATTTCAAGCTGTCAGTACAGTGCATATACACAGGAAGCATATCCATGTGTGATAAATGCACATATATTCTTACATCATAGGACATATAAAGGTAACTAATGAGCTAGTTGCCCTCAATTGTTCTCAAACCATTCTAACTCTTTCATTATCAGTATATAAGTATAAAATTCAAGATTTAACTAAATAAGACAGCCATAAGTAGAACTAGTAAAATGATATGATAGCAAAATTAAAAACAAAATACACTGTAAGAAAGAAATCTGTAGAAAATAATGGCAATATTATAAGAAAGTCCTAATGTAGTAACCTACATTTTTGATCGATTAAGCAATGAACAAATTATTTTAGATTGATTTAAAAAAAATTTTAACTATTTTTAACATCCTTATATTTTTTTCACAACATACAATATAGGATTTCACCTCTCAGGTCACCAATTTTCCCACCAGCAAAGCATCCAGAGTCCTCCACCATAGTCCATGTGTCCCCCCACCACCACCCCATTTTCTACCCTCCCTTATACCTTCTTTAATGTCTCAGATTTCTGGTTTTCATGTAAGGGTCAGTCTTACCTTTGGTTTCCACATATAAGTGAAGCCATTCAGTATTTATCTTTCACTTTTTGGTTCACTTCACTTAGAATAATGCCTTTCCAGGTCCATCCATGTTGTCACAAATGGCATGAGTTTATCTTTTCTAATTGCCTAGGATTATTCCATTGTGCATATATGCCACATCTTCTTGATCCATTCATCTATTCTGGGGAATTTGTGTTGTTGGCATACCTTGGTTATCATTGTAAATAGTGATGCAATAAACACAGGGGTTCAGGTTTCCTTTAGAACTAGTGTTTTTGCGTGCTTTGGAAGATACTTAGTAGAATTGGACCATATGATAGACCATTGTTAATGGCTTGAGGAATCTCTGCACTTCCTTCCTTAGGAATTAGACCAGTCTACATTCCCATCAACAGTATAATAGGTTTCCTTTTTCTCCACCCCTTTGTCAACACTTGTTTCTGATTTTTTGATATGCACTATTCTCACATATGTGAGGTGGTATCTTATTGTTTTTTGAGTTTCATTTTCATATGTCTGTAGCCATCTGTATGTCTTCTTCAGAGAAGGGGCTATTTAGACTTCTGCCCATTTTGTGACTAGGTTGTTTGTTTTCTTTATTGAGTTGTATAAGCTAGTCCTAGGTCTTCAATAGCAATGCTTTATCAGATAAAATATTTTCTCCTATTTATTAGTGTGTTTCTTTGTTTTAGTCACCATCTCTTTCTCTTTCATCATACAGAAGTTCTTTAATTTGATACAGTCCCAACTGTCTTTCTTCTTTGTTTTCCTTGCTGCTGGATATGTGACTGCAGAGATGTTTGTTAAGCTTATGTCACGGAGTGTTTTTACTCTGTTTTCTTCTATGCATTCTTTGTACACTTACATGTCTACTTACATGTATACAAACAACTTTATGTATTTTTTTTACCATATAAGTAATTTTTACTTAGAGAGAAAAATAACCATTCAAGGTTACATAATTTATTAAGTGGATAAAGTTGTTTTTGAAAGTCATCTCCTTTAATTTTATTTTTAATAGACTCCTATATTCAATTTATGCAGAATTTTACAGTTTACAATTTTTTTTCCTTATTCATACCCCCTTTAGTATACACTACAACCCTAGGGGAAAGGGAATATGATATTTTTCTATCTGTTTATTATTTGTTTTTATAAAGACAGAAATTAAAATATCTGGGTTAATCTCAGATTTCTTGACTACCCAAAAGTTTCACACTAAATAGTAAAACTATATTGAAAATTTTAATTTTATGAATTTCAATTCAGTGTTTCATTTACTGGCCATGAAAAAAATCAAAAAATTAACTTTTATATTAATAATATAGAAATTCTAGAATATCATTATGCATTTTGAACATTATACTATTGGCAATTAGACTATACAAGTATCTTGGTTTTTATTATACTCCAGTTATAAAATCAGTACTATTTATTCTTCATAAAAGAACCCAAAATAAATTTACTTATTTATAGTCATCTAAAAATTAATCACTGTTTAAAATAGAAGTTCACCTAATAAAACTTAAATATTATAGGAATGGGTTAAATTTTACATGACTCGGATACAAATTTGCTTCTCACCACATTTATTTAGTGTATGTAGGGACCTAAGAGTTCATGTTATTCATCTAGTTCACTAATTTCAGTGTATTTTCATCAACAAGGAATCATCTTAGAAAAAAAACTGTAAGATAAATACAATAAATGAAACAGATAAAAGAACAAATATTCTGGTAAAATCATGGAAAGTTTGCTTCAATTTAATATGGATCACCAAATTACCCCCAAACCCCCTTACTTCTCTAAACACTAGAAGAAAACTAATTCAGCTACCTCATACACTGCTCTTCAAAACATCAGAATCATAACCAATGCTGGAAATATTATTAAATTATAATATTTTGAAGTTTTAATAAATATTTCATTTTAAATTTAGATGTCTATGGTTCCTAAAAAATAGTTTGCTTAAAGATTTAAAAATGACTAACTCCGTCTTATTCCAAGAATGATTCTAAAAGTGGATTGGGTCATTAAAATTTTCATTAAATTACTTTTTTTTTGGCCTAAAATAGTAAAATATTAGTATGGCTTCACAAACTATTTAATAGGAACATTGCCAGTTAATGTTTCTTTCAAAAACATATATAAAACCCTAACAGATTTAAGTGGGAAAATTTTTATTTCTCTCTGCTATGGAAAAGTTATAAATTTGGGATCCTGGTGTAAAGAATGAAATTTAAGGCAACAAGCTCTCCTTAGTTCACAAATTTCTGTAGATAATTACCTTCATAGAAGTTGATATGCTTCTTCCTAACAATATTCAGTACTTAGCAATATCAGAAATACCAGACAGATATTTTTACCTATAATGTTAACTATTCTAAAAGAAATCATTAGTTGGATAATTTGCATATAAAATTGGTAATTTTCACTCCTTCATGCTATAATTTTTTTTTTCCCTGAAAATCCATAAGCATTATTTACTTGAGTTACACAAAGGGAGAGTCAAGTTCATTGCAGGTTTTCTTGGTGGGATAGCTTCCTTGATGTGATCTCCTGGGATGCTACATGTTCAATCTTCCAAATTCAGAGGCTATGTTGGTATTAAATAACGTCTCTAGGCTCACATATTCTCTAATATAACACTCATATGTTGCTTATTTCCATTCTCTTATTGCTTCTCAGAAATACATCACTTCTCTTTTTTAATCCTTGTGAAGTTATTTTTCTGAATCAAGTGAAGACCCTTTCTCCATCTGATCTTTAGACTGTTTCCCAAATGGAGCTTCTTTTAATGTCACTGCTTTGCAGTAGGTTTTGTGTTTAATACTTATCAGTAAGTCTAAGTGTTGGGTAAAGCTAATTTGTTAATTATAATTTTTGATTTCATTGATATTATTTGATCCAAAAATTCATATTAATTTAAACTCCCTGAATGTTTAAATTTTAAACAAGGTTTCTAGTTTTGTGTGAAATATTCTTTGAAAGAATCCAAGAAAACATTATTTTTTGTACCAGTATTATCACTATTGAAAAATTATGATGCAAATCAACTTAAAAAAAAGAGGTTATCATTATACCTTAAATTTATGGAGATACCACCACCAAAATGAATCATGCAAAAGAGCAATAGAGGCTTGCGAGAGGAAATGAGTCTTCCAGATTTTAAAAACTTTTTCCTACAGAAAAAAAAGCACAGAAAACGACTTAAAATTCACTATAAAATATATGTATTCAATGGTTATAGACTGACAGAGATCAATAGAAGTTTAATGTGAGTCATATAGAATGTTAAACTTTCTAGCAGTTGCTTTAAAAAGTGAAATTTTATAGACATTTTATTTAACCAAACATGTTTGAAATATTATTCCACATACTTGTAAATTATTGTTTTTTCCCAAATTATGTTTATTGTGTTAATGTAGACATATCATTGTATCCTCTTTGGAGGTTATAGGTATACAACTCTATAAATGTTTATTTTTCATACTCTATCCAATACCAATACTATGCAAAAATTTTTAATGAAATACTTTACATTCTTTTATGGTAGTAAATGTTTGAAGTATGCTATATATTCTATCCTTACAATACATTGTAATTGGAACACTAAATTTTCACAATAAATACTAGATCAGTACTTCCGAAAATATATAACTATAACTTTGTTCCAATCATAACTGAAAGGTTTCCAATAACGAGTCATGTATTTTGTGGGAACAACTCAAAGGCCACTAAATATAGTATGGAGTACAATGCAGCAACTTCAACTTACCTTTCAAACTTCTTAACTACAAATCACATATGTAAAGTCCAGAAGCATAAAGAAAGTAGAAAAGTAAAATAGGGGGGAAATAAAATGCTATGTCCAAATTGTTTCTAAATTTCAAGCAAAGATATTTTTTAGTGTAAATTAACCATATGCCTTCATTAACTTTGATTACCATAGGCATAACTGACTTTTTTTAAACAAAAATTCTAAATTCTTTAAAAAATATTAATATTTAGTCAGAACAACCTAAAAATTGCTGAGAAATGGTCCCAAAATTCCAAATTCAGCTTAAAAAGTTAAATGGTTCTTCTTCCCCTTCTCTCTGAGAGGATAATTTCTTGATTCAAGTAAATTTGTAAACACAGATTAAAACCTATAATTATCTAACTTGAACATTTCTCCTAACATTGACAACTAGATCGGACAAGATTTCTGATGTTCTTTCAAATTTCTATTTGTGTGTGCATGTGGTTCAGCTTTCTCCTTCATAATACAGATTGTGTTTCAATCATTTCAACTCAATACATTTTTTACCAAAAATCACCTGTAACCAACATTCCGTTCTGGAGTTATAGGCATAATGTACATTTTCTCTCATCAAGAAACATAATTTATTGATTCTATGTGCATGTAGATGTTTGGAGGGTTTCGGTGAATTCAGTTTATTTTTTCAAGCACGTAACAGTAACTCTTTTACTTTCTTTTTCCAAGTTTCACATCTTTAAGGTTAAGCCCTTTGGTATGTTAGCATAACCATCATATTTTTATTTTTTCTTCATTATTGTTTCATCATCTATTTACTTTAATACCATTGCATTACACACTTCCTAATAAGCAAATTTAAAATAACTTTTAGAAATCAGGTAGTGTATTAACAAGTAGAACACTGGCTATCTATGCCCAGTTATACCAATTGTAGCCAAACTCAAAATATCCTAAATGTAAATACTTGTCATCTCCATTTCCAATCCTCTGGGCCAGCCAATATCTAGTTCCACTCCTAACTTTCCTATTATTTTCAATAATGCCAAGAGTCTCCAAGTTAATTATATGGAAAATTTCTTATAACTTTACTTTTATGTTTTGTTTATATGACTGATTTATAATGTGTGTTAGGTGTATGCTGCATTAGGTTAGAATGTATTTCCATCTTGGAAAACAGGATGTTAAAGGTAAGAAGAAAATTGTAGGTTTCTAGAATACTTAAAAAATGTTTTAATAATTTAATATTAATTTATAACACAATCCTTTCTCTGAGAATTTGAAAAAAATACTATCATGTCTCAAGTACAACCAGAGTAATACCCATACTTTTTTTTTTTTTACAAAAATGACATCAGATGATTGTACCAACATGGCAGACAAAGCCTTCTCTTTTACCTAAATCTCATAAAATATGAAACAGAATTGAAAAACATTCGTATTATCATAGAAAATAAGAGAGCAAGTAATTTGTGAATCATTCCATCAGTTTGAATGGTTGCTTGATTGCCTGAATTACAAACAGGAGATCAAGTTTAGGTCAAATAGACTCTACTTTTTGCAGTATCACATGGTAAAGAGAGTGAGGAAAGGGCAGGAAATAATAGCTGAAACTGATTCATCTAGGCTTAATAGTTAATTATGTTCATTCTAGTGGGTAACAGAGGGCAAACTTAGGAGAAGAAACTACAGGTTTTTGTGATGAAAAATAAGCACAGGAAGGCTGGGGGTAAGTCTACTTCAGAAAGGAAAGATATATGCCAGAGGTGGGGGAGGGATTTAAGGGTGGGTAGACTGTGGGGAGTACAAGAAGTGCTGTTTAAGCACTTAGAAAATAGAAACTTTACTGGATGACCACTTGGCTTTTACGTGGGTGGAAAATAAATACCAATTACCACACTCATTCTACCCCTGGCAATCACTAGTCAATGATCTAGGTTACCTTTTTGGCTATCCTGGAGAAATACTGCTCAAAAATTTCCCCAGGTACTTCACAGCATCAAAAGGTAGAATTGAGAGGAAGGGTTCTCACAGTTTTTTTTTTTTTTTTGGGGGGGGGTGGTGGATATAAGCAGGTTAGATATCCCAAGATTAGAGAGCAAAAAGGAGGAAGAGGAAAACACCTGTATCGTAACATACCAAACCAATAAACACTAGTGATCTCAGACTACTGAGGTAGTAATACATTCTCTTCTGGTCTTTCCTGCCACACACAATGCCCAAAGGATTAAATCTTACTCAACATCAAAACTGACATAGCTTCAAGTATTTGATTCATTGAATCATATCCTTAATTTTTACCTTACAATAAAAATAAAATAATGTTTACATACATCAAAGTTTTGGGCTTTTAAAATAAAAAGATAAATTTGTTCCGCATCCAAATGTCTGGGGAGTTGAGTAAGTTCATTTGATTTGAATCCTGAGAAGCTGGAACCCTACAAAAAGGGAAATATCACAGGACAGTCATTACATTGCTCTTTTAAATCCAGTAGTCTCGTATAACTATAGAAGACATTTAAGAATCATTCATTAATACAATTATTTGACTGTTTTTATGAAAACAAATGAAAAATATTTATCCCTAAGAAAATTTTCATTATTTTTTTTTTTTTGCTTTTCTGGAACTAAGAACACTGTCATATTTATACAATAAATCCAAATGTAAAACAAAACCATATTTCAAAAATAACTTTGGCAAAACTCAAATGATGAAAAATTTTAGCTAGATTATACATACAGAAATTGACTAGGAAGAAAGAGAAAACATCTATACCTTTTCTATTTCTCGTGGGGTCTCTATACTTATAGATACATCTATATTACTGTAAATAATTTATTATCTCACATAATACCTTTGACATATAATCTTTTGAACAGAAATTTAAATACCTCTATACTCTTCTTTGTTGTCATTTCATCTGAAAGCTGGAAAACATTTAAAATATTTTAAATTCCAAATTTTTAATAATAGAAACATGAAGGCTAGTAAAAACTTTAAACTTCACTTTGCCACTAAACTATATGCAATTGATAACATTTAAACCATTATGTTTTGCAAACATTAGTAAAATTAAATGTCTATAAGGGAGTGAGATTCAATATCAAACTCAGTATCGCATTTTGTTACAAATGTAAATTGGTGGCATCTTTCTAGAGAACAACTGTTTAATATGTACCAAAAAACTTAGACTTTTCATGCCTTTGGACATGTCCTTCCACTTCTGGAAATTTATCCTAAGAAAATATTCATAGAGATACACAATCTTTAGCTCTAATATGTTCTCAGAAATTTTAAATAATAGTGATAGTGAGAACTAACCCAATGTCCAATAAAGTGTTATCACATTTTAGTTCATTTTTTTAAATGGCCTACAAAGAATATATATGAAAATTCCATTAATGAGTTAGAAGAATATAACTTAATCTGAATTTCTAAAAATTTTGAAACATAAAAGTTAAAGTGACACATTAGGAGATAGATGTAATTGATGTGTAAATGACAGAATAAGGATGCTTAATAAAAATGTGTATTTATTTCTTCAAATTTTCTGAAATACATGCATTATTCATAATTGGGGAAAACAATAAAAACTATTTGAAATAAAAAAAGACATTTACTAGGGTGGCTGGACTAGTAGTAGCACTTATCTTTATGGATTAATGTCATGTAACTTTAGAATGCATTTAATTTTCACTAATGTTTGTTTACATAATTTTAATTTTAATGTATTTTTTCCCCAAGTTATGTTTAGTGAAGTTAAGTAGGTTTGTATCTTTGTATCTGATCTGGGATAGAAGTAGTGAATTTATTTTTGAAAAGGATGAATTTTTTCAAAGTAATTTAAAACATAATTTTAAGCAAATTTTCAAAGTTTTGTTTTAACTGACTAAGTAATTCTAAAGGTAGTCAGAAAGAATTAATTTTTAAAAGTAATTATGTTATAAATCAGTAAATAACCAGAGAATGTACTATGTATATAGTAAACAAACATTCAAATAACTTGAAGTAATGTGAAAAATCTTAACATTATAATACTGACTGTGAAAAGAAATATATATATATGTATGTGTGTGTATGTGTATATAGATATATCACGTCACCTGTAAACCATCACCATAGTCTCTTGTGTTCTTCCCTCCCACTCTTCTGCTGAATATCTACACTTATCTTTTGTCTGCCAGTTTTTTTTCCCTCCAGACCCTTTACTGGTTCCCCTATAAATGAAAACATCCAATATTTTTCTTTTCCCATATTTTAAAAACACAAAGATAGGTAGATGATAACAGACAAATGTAGAATTTAAAAAATGTTTTCAGTGTTTTTATCTACAATACAGTGATTGTATTTTGACAGAAGGAGCAATGAAGGAAGGTGAAAACAGATACTATACCATTATTTTCTTCTTAGGATATTTTGCTAGAAGTGCCCTGTATCTTTGTAATTTTTCATAAGAACCTTTAAAAAATGAGAATTCACAATATATAAATTTATAAACATATTATTTAAAAATTAAAAAATTAACTATCTTAAAGAAATTGTATATGAAGCTATTCAGTGAGATTACAGTGAGATTAATTTTTGATAAACATAACACTAATACAAACCACCTTAGATGATTGAATAATTGTAACTACTACCTTTTGTTTCTCTTTGTTTTTTAGTAAAGTCAGATTCCAACTAATACATCTTTAGTATCTATTCCTACATATAAAGTTTTACATTGATCTATTCCTACTGAACAACCTCATGTTTTTCCAATAGTTCAGCCACTTAAGTTTGGTTGTATCAGGGTTACCTTAAATTCAATAAAGTACAGTAATTTGGAATATGATCCCATATAAGACTTAGACTTAAGACTTAGCATGGACTGGAGTCCGAGCTCTGGTATCTAGATAAGGAGGAAAATGCATGTATATAAAAATTATTTTTCTTAGTAGAAGGAAGGTATAGTAAGCTATGGAAAGAAAGGAAGTGGCTTTAAAATAAAATTGATTTTTTAAATATCTTAGCTGTCCTTATGATTTTATTCCTTCTGAGAGTATGCACACAGAGACAGACAGGTACATGTTATATTTTACTCATAAGAAATAAGGCAATAAGGCTTTACTTGTCCTGTACATGATATTGTTCCACTCCAATATTTTAGAGGCATGGTTTTTCAAATGAAATGAACATTCATCTAATCTTGACTCCACTATTGCAAATGCCTCAGGTATTCGAGGGCCATTTCCCCATAAATGTGTATAAATTGAAGCAAATGAGCTATCTTCTTTTATTTTCTTTATCATGTATGACCATTCATCATTATCTTTAAAAGAAATTTTCCTTGGCCAATAATCCTGTAAAAAATGTGACAGAATACAACTTAAATCAATTTTAATAAATTAACATAAGAGTTCAAAACCAGTAAACTAAATTGAAATTTTATTCCTTAGTATTATTTTGAATTAAATGTATTCTTTAAAATGTGAAACAATCATAAGCTTTAGAAGTTTCAAGTACTTTACAAAAAGGTGCTTACTTCTACATGAAAATGCAGTATAGCTGAATGATTGGGCTCTTGACATTGTGGAACATGCCTGTGTATATGTTTTATATGGTTCTTGTCACAGAAGCATGCAACTGGGTATGGGGGCATCAGAGGTATAACCTATTCTGTAAGAGCTAATTTACTGGAGTCTTTAGATTTAAGCTGAACCTCAAAGGAGTTTAGGAATCAACTAGGTGAAGCCAGTCTGCATGTCTCAGTACACCCTGCATCTGGCTGCCTAGCAATGTAAACTTGGTCAAGTTCCTTAGTTCTCTGCGACTTTGTTTCCTACCTTGTAACAGAGAATAATGATAACCATTCCGATACCTCATAACACTATGTCAGAATTAAAAATTTTAATTTTACTCAATTTAAATGTAACTCAATTTAACTTATTGTGATTAAATTTAATTGTATATGCCATGTGCATAGTCAACATTCAATAAATGTTTGCTATACATTGTTCAATAAGTAAAGGGACAACATTAAAAAGATATGGGAAAAAGAAAATAAAGGTTTTTTTCTGAATCATCGGAAAATCAGTTGCTTTCTTTAACCGATACCCCATCATTTTTAAAACTGCGTATTTCCTAAAACAAAACCTTCACCTGCATAGACAGCCAAGAATCAGAAACTGACATTGATGCATAATTCTTATCCACTCCTCAGGCTCTATTCAAGTTCCATCAACTAATCCTTTAGAATTACAGGATCTAGTTCAGCATCACATATTACAAGTTGGGTTTTGTAAGTCTTTCATCTCCTCTAGTTTATACTTCCTCAATATTTTATCTTCTTATGCATTTAAAATTATGCATTCACATTTCTAACTCTAATTCCAAATATTCCCATATTATAATCACTATCTTCAAGAATGAATAAACTATCTAACATCATCTTTATTATATATATATATATATATGTGCTCTGTCCTTTAGGTAACCAATCTCTCCTACTTGTCATCATCCTGTTCTCTGAATGGATGCCATTCCTATCCTGCTTAGGCTCTGACACACCATGCCAAGCAGACAGGAAGGTCATGGTGATGGGTTTTAGAATATTTTCTTGGAGTAGGTGCCTATCTCCTTGGTGATAACCTAGAAGCACGTGGTACTGAGGAGTGTTTGATTATGTTTGATTGAGTTGACAGCCACCAAGAGCTTTACTCCAACATGTAGGCCAATAATGTGTGCTTGCAGGCCTGTCAGTTCTTAAAAGAGCTGCCTCCAACTTGCCTATACTCCTGCCTTGATGAGAACCATGTAGTTGGCCTGGAACATTGTAGTGATCATGTTCTTGATGAAGTCTTAGTAACCAGGGATATCAATGATGGTAACATTGTACAAGATCTACAAGATGTTGATGGTATCCCCTACTTCAGTTTGTCTACCACCCAGAGGTACTTGAAGGAGCCTTTACCAATCTTGATTGCCTCCTTCTCAAACTACTTGATAGTTGTTTTTTTCTTTTTTTATGTTCCCTCTCTTGTAAATGAGATGCAGTGCTGGGCTTGCTGGAGTCCACATGACTGATGATTATATTGATAAGGGTCTTCTCTTTGTCCATGGTTGTGTGTTCACCCAAGTAATTGCTGATCTTTCAATCAGCAGGAGATGAAGTGGCTGGGAAGATTTGAAGATCTGGAGGAGATGAACCTCATTAGGAGAATTTGGATATAAGACATGTTGGAAATTTAGATAATGGGAATAAATATGACATCTGCAGGGGTGTTTTTCCTTGCCTACTCTGGCCATAAAACTCTAGTGACCAACATCATTCTGCACCACTCTGTGCTGCTTTCTGAAAAGTCCATTTGGGGAAATTCACCACATCCTGTGGAGTGTGGTTACCTGTGCCCCTGAATGTTTGGAGAACCAGGGTATCTACTTTCCTGGCCATGTTCTCTTTCACCGCTAAAGCCTTAGTTTAAATCTTCCATAAGGATGCTGTCAGGAAACTCATGAATTTTCCTTTGAGCAAATTTTTATATATATATATATATTGTATTTAGCTTTAGAAGATAATTTAAAGTTCCCTATTCTGCAATGTTGTGGATGGAGTCTCCATTATTTAAATCAAAGTCATTCTAAGTCTTGTCCTAAAGTAGTTAAAATAATTGGCTCTGCTGTGGTTATTGAAATAAATTTTATAAACTAAGAATATTTTCATTTTCTATTTGTAAGGAACTCAGTCCTTTTCCAAAATAGTTTTAAAAGCATATTTATATATATGTAATAATAGAAAATAGATGTTTAAAAATAGATATTTTGGAACTCCACTGTCAATAGTCTAGTCATAACAAATTCTATTTAAACATAAATATTGCAAGTCATTCAAAGTCTAATCTACTCAAAATGTGTTAAAAAAAGAAACCTCCTTTCCTCTTTCTATCTTCTACACTAACACCTTTATATTAACCTTGGTAATCCTCAATACCAAAAAAACCTACTTTTCATTCTAACAAGTGTATGAACCTAAGTGAAAGTCCACTACAAGCCGAAAAGCTTTAAAATATAACTGTCAAGCATAATACTGAAAACTGGAGTTTTCAACAATAAAACACATTTTGAACATTTCATTATGATTAAATAATCACTGGTCAGTCAAAGTTGTAGTGTATGAAAATTGAGCTAAATAGTGTAATTGTCATATATTCTTAAAAGGGTAAATAGGTAAGACAAAAATAACATTATCAAAATTATGTAGAAAAGTTCTTCTGATAGTGAAACCTATTTTTAAGGTGAAAAAGAGAACAGAATATTGACAAGAGGAAAGATAACAAAATAAGTCTACCAAGAGGAACATTTATAGACATTTTCCCCTTCAGAATTTTTTCTGGATTTCTATTTTGAAAGTATTATCTAATATTTCACATCTACATAACAGATATTTTAAAAGATGCATTTGTACATACAAGAGGATACATTACTCACCAAATTTTGAAATTTTAAAAATTCTTCAATGTTCTTTGGAGGTCTTTGCATTCTCTAATGAAGCAAAATCAATATTGTTAACTAACATGAATTCAGATTTATTATGATGCTTGTATGTCATTTTCTCAACTACGTTATGATGCTACACTTAAATTACAATTTTCAAAATCATAAATAAGATCTTATAAAATATTCACTGTGTTAAAGTCCCTAAACTTTGAAAAGGGACACAGATCAAAATTTAATTTTGGGCCTACAAACCATATTCTGTAATAGGATTTCCCTTTATACATTACTCCTAGAGAAAAACTCCATATGGATCAAGCTCAATATTCCCATTTCAAACTTCTACAAGAGTTGAAGGACATGTTGGGCTATCTTGTATGGTATCTTGCTCAGGGCCCAAAATGTATTAACATATAATTCTTGCTGATGTAATATTTAAAAATTCACACTAGTAACATAGAAAAATAATTTAAATATTTTGACTTTTCAGTACAATAAGCAATAATTCCATAGTAATTTTTATATTAATATATTATTATTCTTTTCTTTTTTATATTTAATTTCTTTACATGTACAGATTTTACATCAGGTATAATTTCTACCACCAATTCACCTGTACACCATCACCTTAGTCCCTTGTGCTCTTCCCACCCTCATTTTGTACCCTCTCCCTAGTCCTCCCCTGCAGAATCTCACTGATTTATAATTATCAGATTATTTTTGATTAGTTTGTTGTAATTTCTTCTAATTGTAACAGTTTGTCCCCTGATCCATTATTTGTTTCCCTATATCCCCCATATAAGTAAAACCATCAAATATTTCTCTTTTTTTTTCTGACTTATTTCACTGAGCATAATACCTTTCTAAATCTGCCCATGTTGCAATCAATGGCATTAGATTATCCTTTTTTTTTTCTGAATAGTATTCCACTGTGTATATGTACCACACATTCTTGATACAATTATCTATTTTGGGGGACTTCAGTTGTTTCCAAGTCTTACTATCATAAATAGTACTACAATGAATATAGGGGCCAGGTGTCCTTTTGAATTATGTTTTTGTGTCCTTTGGGATGGAATTCCAGGCTCTAGATCAAATTAAAAAGCTTCTATACATCAAAAAAAAAAAAAAAAGAGAGAGAGAGAGAGAGAGAGACATAAAACAAAAGCAACGAGATACCCTACTGACTTGGAGAAAAATTTTGTACTTCATACAACTGATAAGGGATTGATCACAAAGATATACAAAGCACTTATAGGACTCAAGAAAAACAATGTAAACAATCCAGTCACAACAATCCAGTCAAAAAATAGGCAGTAGAACTCAAAAGACACTTCTCTAAAGAGGAAATGCAAGTGGCCAGCAGGCATATGAAAAAATATTCAACATCGCTCATAATCAGGGAAATGCAAATCAAAACCATAATGATATATATACCACCTTACACACCAGTGAAAAAGGCACATATTAAAAAAATAACTAACAACGACAAATGTTGGCGAGGATGTGGCGCAAAGGGAACTCTCCTACACTGCTGGTGGGAGATCAAATTAGTCCAACCACTATGGAAAGCTGTGTAGAAATTCCTTGAATGACTAAAAATGGATCTGCCATTGACCCAGCAATTCGACTCCTAGGGATCTACCTAAAGGACACAAAAACATTAATTCAAAAGGATGCATTCACCCCTATGTTTACTATTCTATTTTTAATATTAATAATTCTCTTATATTATTTAAGACATATATACAAGAACATATAGAATACATATACAATAATAAAAATAAAGAGAATAAATTACAATCATCTTAAAAAATAAGTGTACAGAAGCAAAATATTTATGTTCCAATGGCAACAAAAAGAAAAACCTAGGAAAAGTAAAAACCTTTTCTATGGGATTAGTGAAGAGCAGTGGATGCCAGTAAACAATGTTGGCACCATTCTTTATGGTACAAGTACAGAGTCCCTTGCTTAAAATTGGGCAGTATCAAATGGTAACATCAGATGATTAAATCAAACTAGGGTTCTACTAATTCTGAAACCTGGTACAGTTGCCTATGTTGTAAACCCAAAGAGCTAGTCTACCTGGAATTCTTCATGACTTAAAATCTATGAAGTAGGCCCTTTATGGGAGCACAAAGTTGTGGCATTTTCCTTACCTGACAGTAAGGTATGTGAGCACAGTCAGAAAAGAATCGGTCTGCCATGGTGTAATAACTTAATAGAGATGAAGAGAAACCAAGTGTGCCTTAGGCATTCACACAAGCTGGGAGAACAAATTGGAATCTGAAAATGCAAAAATAAATGACTTAGTCAAACAATCCCTTTATCTGCTCCCACTCTTCACTTCTGAATTTTGTCAAAAAAGGAGCAGTGGAGGAAAACCTGAAAAACAGTAAAGTAATATAGGCCAAGGCATTCTTATAGTATCTGAGTTCCAGAGTCCTGGTAGAGTTGAATTCAAAGGTAAAGCAAAAAATACCTAAACTTCAATCCAAATTTACCCAACTCAGTATTGACAAGATATTAAGAGATAGTTAAAAAGGAAGATTTTGGAGGGTAGGTTCATCACAGGTGAACTCAATCTAACTAAATTAGATTTAATTCTTTCGAATTAAAGTTCATTTCAAGTCTAGGAGGATTCTAAAAGACAAAATTCTCATCTTAAATGCCAAAGAGAGAAAAAGACTGTACATTCTGAAAACAAAATTAAACTAAACCTCAGCATTCACAATACGCAATAGTATAAATTATAAGACATACAACAAAAAAGGAAAATGAGACGTAATCAAGAGAAAACAGTCAATACTAATCAATTAACTTAAACCTAGTTATAATGAACAAATTTTTTTAAACACCTAACACAAATATGTTAAAGATTTTATAACACAAGTTGAATAACACAGCATTAAGAGGTTGGATATTTTAATAGAAATGAAATTACCAAAACAGACTGGAAATCTAGAATCTTATGTATACACTATCATAAGAAAACTGGTATGTCTATCTTAATATCAATGTCGACTTGCAAGCAAAGAATATTACCAGACATGCTGCTGTATGCTGATAAAAAGATCAATGGATTAAAAGACATACCTATTCTAAATATGTTTGTATCTAATAACAAAGATTTAACATGACTGTAGTAGAAATTAATAAAACTAAAGGGAAATACAGCAGCATCACATTTATAGTTGAAGACATTAACAAATTTCTGTATACACAATGCATATAACAATCATACCAACACAAATGAGAATAAAGAGTTGATCATTATCATGCAATTTTACCTGAATGACATTTACATAATAACTCTATCCCACAACCACAGTGAATATACAATCATTTAAAGTGACGTGTTGGAAATTTCAACAAAATGAATATATGCAGTCCCAAAAGACAACTCTCCAAAATTTTGAATAAGAAATCATTCAGAGTATGTTCTCTGACCACAATAAAACTCAAATGGAAACAAAAGGTATCTGGAAAATCTTTAATGATATTCTTTAATGTGCAAATTTTAAAATTCTATGTAATGGATCCCTGAAACTGATTTATATTCATAATTAAAGATTCATAGTTTTTTCCAGACAGATACACAGATCTCATATATATGTATATATATATATATAAACTTCATAAACTTGTCAGGACAAAACTGTGCACTGTTTTAGTGTTTTATTTTATTATGGTGCTTTTAAATTTAATGGAGATTCTTAGAGAGCTATGATAAGATACTGCATACCTGAAACCAAAACAACATTACTTTAAGGTAATGAAAAAGTAAGAAAGTAAACCACAAATATAATATTCAATAAAAAATTTGTGGTGGGGAAAACCTGATGAAATCTTTGGAAACTAGAATAAAAATTTTCAAGAAAAACGAATCAAAGGAAAACAATAGGAATGCAGAGTATTCCAGTAAAATGACTTTCAGTTTAGAGATTTTAATATCGACATACCATCAATTATATCTGTGGCCTATTTCAACTGCAAGACAGTAAAAATACTACCATTTCTCCCTGCATTAGTTTCATACACAAACTTAGCGGCTTAAAGCAATGCAAATTTATTATCTCATTGTTCTGGAGGCAAGAAGTCTTAAGAGGGTCTTAACTGCTCCTGAAAGCTTTTGGGAGAATCTGCTCCCTACCATTTTCCAGGTTGTAACAGTCAACTAACTCCAATTTCAAAGCCAACACTATAGCATCTGTTTCTCTCCCTTGAGGTTATGCCAGGACCGCCCAGATAATTCAAGTACTTCCCCCAACTTTAAGTTTCTTAACTTAATCATATAGGCATAGTTCTTTCTGCAATATATGATAATATACAAATAGGTTATGGGGATTAGAATATTGTCGTATTTGGGGGATAATTATTCTGTCTACCACACCTCCATTTACCTTTTCTCAGGAAGGTAATGGAGGATACATTTCATAAAAATAAAGGATTAAGCAATGGAAAAGGAAACAAATGATCCAACACAGGAGAGCAGTATAGGATTGTTAAATGAAATGAACTAAAGGTTGTAATAGTCTAGAAGGAATATCTGGAAGGAAAAAGAAAAATAACCTCTAGGTGAACTGGTTGGTGATACTTTCTCACTGTGGCTGACTGAGAAGAGATTACTAATATGTGATAAAAGTATGGCAATCAGTAACACAAAGGTAAGTAAAAGTTTGGATTAAAAGTTAGTATGATCATATAGTATGCTATATGACTTAGGGTTCAATATTATCTACATATGTTGCTTTAATCAATGAGATAGTACATATTGAGTAATGAAGTTATAAGAAGAGTATACGGGGTAGGAGAAAAAGAATGTTTACACATTTTGGGATGGTGTTATAAAAGAGCTATATTATGCCTTCCACAGGGTTAAGTCAATAGTTAAATTCTGAAATTGCAAAATCAAGAAATTGCAGTTTATGAATAGTAAATTTTCATAAATAAAGAACATAAAAGAATATTTTTAAAAACAGTAAAAAAAATTTGGAGAAAAATAGAGAGGACCAAAATTGGGGACCAAAGGGTTTTGATTAACAACTTAGTATGTGGCAAAATCACTGTTGTACACCTAACATGTATAACTCTCCACTTTACCTGATTTTCTTGCAGTCACAGTGTTAAAATTGGAACCAAATTCTGGCCAGTGAAATGTGGACACAGAGATATATGCCATTTTTAAGACTAACGTTTAAGACACTTTGGGTGGTTGTGGTTCACCATGTTTTTTTTTTTTTTTCTTGTCAGATAGGCTGTGGACCCCAAGTCTTAAAGACAGCAGAACCACTAAAAAGAAATCTGCATATTCGAGTCTAATATTTCACCTGACTGGTAACATCCAGAATGGATTTCTTGCGAGAGATAATAGGTAGTCAGATGAAACTACTGAAACTTTGGGGTTGTCTGTGATAGCTGTGTATTGGTTTAAAAGAAAAGGCCACAAATTTTTTCATATTTTGAGAAGTGACATTATGTCTCCTCTCTTAAAATCTGAACTAAAAGAATGTGAGAGAAGCGTCACTTTTTAAGGCCACATCAGAAAAGGATGTACACTTGCCTTAGCCTAAGCTAAGAAATCAGATTACCCTGCAGTCACACACTGTGTGTGGAAGCCTCATGGAGAAGTCACACACTGGAGTGTCTGTTACCCTTTGTAATCTTCCCAATTGAGTTATCAGAAAACAGTTGTTCCTTCATGCCTTACTGAACAAACAATGGTCATGTACATGAACACATTCAACATAATTTAAAAAAAGATTGTCACTGTATTGTGGAGTAAGTATGATAAGCAATAGTAGCCTAACAATTTTAACAGCTTACTTATCTGTGCATTTGAATGAAAGTAGTTACACTAAAAAAAAGTGTGAATTATTTATTCTTGGCTTGCAGACATTGTTACTAATTTTCCTACAGGAAATCTCATCTTTCCTAGTGACTTCCAAGTTTTTCAAAATTTCCACTAAAATATACCTTTTATAAATATGACCTCACTCTCTACACACACAACCTCTACATAAAGTAATAGTTAATTTTACAAAATGTCATGCAATAATATTGCCACCCTCTATTTTTCTTTCCTTTTTGTTTTTTTTTTCTTTGGTTAGGTTCTACTTTTGACTTAATAGCTTTCCCTGCTTACAAATGGGAACTCTATTAATGGGTCTCACATAATTGACTTGAAAACCACTCCTCCTAACTATAATTATTCTTTTCTTCAAGTGCAACCAATAAGACTTCCTTGACTAGTCCATCTGAGCTCCTTTGTAATTCCTATAGCTTACTGATTAATCATATTGTATTTTCTTCACTATCCATGATTAATTTGATATAGTAAATTCTTCTAGGACAAGATCCTGTACTGTATTTCCCACTTGCTAAATATATAGTACTTAATAAATGTGTGGCTTAATGTTATAAGTGGCCATTATGTTTCTAAATCTTAGAGTTATTAACATTTACTCACTGGGTTGAGATTTTCTTTTTGCATCAAGGAAAAAATGGTTTAAATATTTTCTCCACATATTATATACCTGATTTCAAACTGTTGAACTGCATATATTAGTACCAAATCATCAAGATACAGACGATTTTTTAAATAGATTTCACTACTAGCATTACTATCTTGACACAGTCACAAAAGAGTAACAGAACCAAGTTCTCACTACTAAAATATTTTGGGATGGGTAAAAAGGAAAACTCTTCTGTAAGATTTGAATTTTTCACAACAAACTGCAACTACATACACCTGGAGGTAGTTTTGTAAACTACCTGTTCCTGGCCAGTCTTCCAGTCTTAGGCGGGAAGCCAGCGTAGGCAGGCGGGTCTGGGGACCTGGGTCCAGCTTTTCACCCTCGTCTCCAGAGAGGGGCAACACCATCATCAGCTAACAAGACTGAGAGAAGTCTTCCAGTCTACCGGTCCCAAGGTTCCCGCGTTAGTTACCTACGCCAGGAGGCATGCGCAGCACCGGCCTTAGCAACGGTCTTAGCAACGCCGGTCTCCGCCCCCTAGTGTCTCTTGGAAAGCGCTCCGCCACATCCGTGAGCTACCACGGTCCGGTGCGCGCCTCGGGCGAAGCGGAGGACGCGTGGAGCGGTGCGAAGACTTTCGGGCTGTGCAGGTCTGAGTCCCACTCCCCTCCCTCGTGCGGGTCTCTGCACCTCACTGGGGACGAGTGGTCTGATTGCAACCGTGTATCTGCGGGGAGTGGACGCTCTTTGGCACTCGTGGCGGTCGAGCCGGGTGTCACCTGTGAAAGGGGCCCCTGATTTCTACGCGGGCGCTTGCGTTTTCAGGATGTTGGGGGCCTTTTGGAAAAAAGTTGTCCATTTTTTTCCTCCAAAAAACAAACAAAGGGCCCTTTGTCCTTTGGCATTGCGCCCCAAGGAAAGTCTGTCCTGGCAAACTTAGTTCCTTGTTCTTAATTTTTTGGTTCCTGGAGTGGTTTCCGGGGGAATTGGTTATAACGTAGGAGACTTTTAGAGCCACATACCTTGGTATACCAGTATTCCAGGCAGCATATTTAAAATATTAGTCCGTGCCTTATGTCTAAATTAGTTCCTAGGAATGTAGGACAAGGAGGATGTTTATTAACACTTGAAAGTGCCAAATCCACGGAATTGAGGAATAAAATGCAACTTGACTTCAAACCACACATTTAAGGATTACTTCTGTCTGAAATGAACCCCGGTGTACCATTAAAAATTTAAGGCAAGACAGTTGTCCACTACACGGTGAGCGTTTGAGAAGGAGCCGTTTAATCCTGTACGGGGAAAAAAAAAAAGTGTACCTTGGATTTCCTGAAAAAGGTGAACATATCATGTGATGAAGTTCTTAAAAATACCCCAGAAAGAAAATTTGAAGTGCTTTTATTTAGTACTGAATTAGTCCACAATACATATTAGGAAGAGTTTTATATAATGTTCCATTGGAAGGCTACTCAACTACTTGGTGTTAGGAACTTTCTCCATTATTGTTGTGCAAAAAAAAAAAAAAAAAATGTTCTACCAGGCTGCAGGTGACTCACAAAGGTAGTTGGTCAGGTACTTAAGTAGCAAAATGCACCTGTTTTTATTTAGTGAACAAGTATTTGGTTCCTACAGGGATAAGATGAGATTAAGTAAAGAGTTCTGCAGAGTTGATGGCTAGGAAGGATAAAAGACACCTGCAGAGTGCATTTTTTTCATATTAAATATGTAGAATTAAGAATAAGTGCGGTGATAGAGATTTGAGATTGCTATAGACCATCCAGAATACTGACTTTGAGCCTAAAATAGGTTATGTGCAAGGTAGAATTGTTGGATTTGGTAAGTAATTAATTAACTAGATTCCTAAAGTCAGTGAGAATTGACTTTTGTTAGCCCAAAGAGGATTCATAGCTTAGATTTCTGGAAAATAATACACAATTTTTGGACTGCCTCCTGTCCTTAGGATGATTTTTTTTTTTCAGGTTTCAATGGCTACCTAATATTTACTTATTATGGTTACTTTGTATAAGTAGAAAGATACTAAACCCATTTGTGATTTTTTAAAAATAATGTTTATTTTTACATAAATTTGTGCCTTTTTCCATCTCAATGGTAATCTCCGTGGGCTTCCCATCACCAAATCACTGTGTGCCATCACCATAATCCAGTGCACAACCCCCTCACCCCCCATTTTTGATCCTATTCACCACTCCACTCCCATAAAATGTCTCTGGTATATAGTTGTAGATTATTAGTTATCCCCCCTGGTCCTTTATGTTCCTGCTATGAGTGGAACCATCCGTTATTTTTCCTTTTTTTTCTGGCTTATTTCACCAAGCATGATCCCTTCCAGCTCCATCCATGATGCTGCAAAAGGCGTGAATGTATCTTTTTTGAGTCATAGTCTTAGGATGATTTTTTTTTTTTAAGATTTATTTATGCATACAGAACTGGGGTACAGGCCAGAGGTGCAGCGGTGGTGAGAATATTCACCAGAGACAGAGTGAGGCGCAGAACAGGTAGACTGACAAAGTACACTGCTAAAGGGAGCAGCAGGCTGGTCAGGAGGTCTGCCACACCATGTGGTCACCTCCATGGCGGTCTTCAGGGCGGGCGGGAATCAAACTCATGCTGAAGTGGTTTTAGCTTCTTAGTGCTATGCTTTAACCTGCTGCGCCACCAGGGAGGGCCCTCTTAGGATGAATTTCTAAGGTTAGGATTTCTTTATCTGGATCTGTGCAAACTAATTGTTGTGTGCAAAATATTGTGCTATATATGCATTTTCTAGAGGTAAGTTCCAAGATTCATACAATCTTCAGAGGATCTGATCTAAGAAAAGGTGGCCGCTTAATATATCACCTTCTCCTAGTAGTGTGGGATATGACAAAAGACAGAAGTCATTAAGTTGGTGATTTGGAGTGGGGTTCATAAGTAGATAATGTTTGTGAAGTAGGAATGGATTTATGTTTAACATCTCATCAGAAATATTTTTAGTTTTTCCATTGAATCAATTTGGCAACTATATTTTACTTCTTCATTATCAGAACCTTTTTTTCTTTGCATCTCTTTGTGCCCATTGGAAATTACAATCTATAAAAAGCTCCTGATGAGTAAATAAATTAGTATCACTAACTTATTGTTAGTAAATTTTTATGTATTATGTTCCACTGGACTTTTTGTTCACTTTCTGTTTAGGAGACCACAGAAAGTTTCCTGTTGCAGTCACAGCATTTCTCCTGTCAGTGTATTCAGAGTGCCTGGAGTCTCATAGTTAAAACACCACAATGCCATAAGTCTTTATAATAAGAGAATCATTTTACAACTTTGGAATGCATATCAAATCAAAAGGGCCCCAGTCTCTTTCTCCCTTGAAAGATATTACGCTTACAGAGTACTTGAATAATAACAGTTTTGGCAGTCATGGTCAGTCTTTGAAGAAAATATTTAAGTGGCAAAATTACGTTACTACTTTACCTCTTCTAATAAATCTGAATCATACAGATTTTTTGAAAATAGTGTATTCTTAGAGTAAGTAATTGCTGATGTTAGCCTGTAAATAAAATTTAAAAATCTATAAGGTTAGACATTTTTCCTGGCATATATTTCACCTTTGAAGGTATTATAAATTATAATTGGCAGTATAGATGCCTTTCACAACTTAATGGCTATTTAGTTACATATTTTAATTAAGGTGGAGAAAACAGTATCTTTCAGATAAAGTTCAGAGCTCCCAGGTGATTTCATGGGACTTCACTGATTTTGCTGAAACTTTATATTTTCATTAGCATTTAGGTTGAGATTTGAAACCTGCAACATCAATGCAGAGTCAAAGCCTGGAGGATTGAATATATTCCTGGTTTATACTAACATTAAACCATTATGTTCCTAATATAAAACAAAATCCCTGTGTCTGGAGCAAAAAGTTGCTGAAAAATGCATTGTTGGAATCTAAACTTTAAATTTGATATAATTTTTCTGAGAACACCTTTCTGTTTTTAAGGAGGAAGGGACCAAAAGAATAATCAGTCTTTTGAATTTACTGCTTTTTATTTTTTATTTCAAAGCATACTAATTTAATGGTTTTTGAAACTTTACATTTATTAATAAATAATAAAACCAGATCACAGTTATGAGTTGAGTAATTTGCTTTGTAGGAGCAATGAGTAAATGTCTTCCTTTTTGTTTTGCCTCCCTCTTTTTTTTTTATTTTCAGTTAATCTGTGATATGTGTTTTAGAGTTGATGCTGCACTTTTGTTTGAATGAAAAAATGTCCTTCAGTCTCAAAGAAAGGGAAGAAAATAATTCAACATTTGTGGAAGTACAACAGTCACAAACTACTTCTATAGATTCAGAAGATCCTCTTCAAAACTTATGCTTAGCATCCCAAGAAGTTCTTCAAAAAGCTCAGCAAAGTGGGAGATCAAAATGTCTCCATTGCGGTGGTTCAAGAATGTTCTACTGCTATACATGTTACGTCCCGGTTGAAAATGTACCAGTTGAACAGATGCCAATTGTGAAGGTTGGTAAGAAATATGCTTTAAAATTAATGATTATAACTTGTTCACAACATTAAAAATATGATGTAAACATGAGTACTAGAAGAGAAAAACCTTATAGTCTTCCTGAAAGAACATGAAAAACCACCTCAGGCCCTTGAGCCTGTCTTGGAGAAAACATATCTTCAAGGAACTAGGCTTGATTTTCTTTGTCTTGAATTTAGGTGTATTTTGCATGTGGAGATGGAATAAATATCAGTGATTAGAAGTAAGCTAAACTAATATTTAAAGGCCTATGACTATTTTTTGTACTATGCTTTAAATTGTGCTTTTAAGCCAGATTTTAAAATTTGATTTAAATTGTTTACCTTTCCTTTTTTGTTGTTTACCAGTGCTGTTCTCGAATCTATAAAGGATTCATACCCCATCATATCTTTGTAACCCAAGAGTAACTTATTATCTGTGTGTTAACATGCTTCATGATGTCCTAACTCTAGGAATCATTAACCAATTATGTATAAAGTTTTATCATGCCTACTGGAGAGGGGTGTGGAGACTAAACTCTGTGCGTGGGCTTATTGGAATTGCCAGTAAGAAAATACGTTGCAACTATATTAAAAATGTTTTAATATTAACTGTTTCATATTTAAAATAAATATTTATTTAAACTTGAAGAAGGCTCCCAGTGGTGGCGCAACAGCTTAGGACGCAGCACTACAAACTAGCCGCGTTGGCCACTTGGGTGTGAGTTTGATCCCCAACCCCAGAGGTGACCTACATGGCGTGGCAGACCCCTCCTGTCTCCCCTGCTGTTCCCCTCAGCAGTGTATTTAGTCAGTCTGCCTGTTCTGCTCCCCACTCTGTGTCTGGTGAATCCTCTCACCACACACACACACCTCTGGTCTATACCCCAATCTCTATGCAGCAATAAATATTTAAAAAAAATAAATTTGAAGAAAAGCATCTCAACATAGAAATAAGTCTGTGACATCTTGGCGAGTCCATACTCACCTCATGAGCCCAAATTTATACTTATAGGTGAATAAAAATTACTGTACCAAAATAAAAAAGCATGGACTGTAAGTTTCAGGAAAACCAGAAGGATAATAATTCCTTTTTAAAATTTCTTATCTTACATGAATGTTACATTTCTAAAGTATAGTTTTTGCAGTATACATGGAATTGTTCTACCTTCTATTTATATGAAAGAAACGAAGAGCATACTTACCAATTAAGTTTTATCGTGAAAAAATAAAGTTATATCATATACTATGTTGCATTCTAAAATGATTGCAGATAAGAACAATTAAAGTCAGTGTTATTTGACAGGGCTAGTATTTTTATAAAAATTTTATAATAGAGTATTATTTTCCAAATCAAATGTAGTCTAATGTGCACTGTTTAATAGAATTGATACAAAATACTGTGCTAAATGTTTTGATTAATTCCAAGTGACATACTAGACACTGAAATTTTCTGTGTTTATAATGGCCATATGTAAAATTTGGTATGTTAATACATACGAATGGTAGTGAAAATTATACAAAAATTTCTAATTTCTGCTACTGTAGTTGAAATCTGTTTGAGCTACATATGGGCCTTTGGTGCAGACCTCCTGATTTCCATATCATTGTCTTAGAAAGATGAAATATATGAAATTAGGATTATTTAGCAATATTCAGCAACTGCTTCTTAAAAAAATATTCTGGGATAAATGATACAATAGTATGGATAAACCTCAAAATAATTATTCTGAATGAAAGAATTCAGATGAAAAGAACACAAACTGTATGATTTCATTTGCAGATAGTTCTAGAAGATGCAAGCTGTTCTACAGTGATAGTATAACTGTAGGTGGCAGGTAATGGTAAGAGGGAGGCAGAAGATACAAGAAGCCTTTTGGGAATGATGGATATATTCATTATCTTGATGGTCATAAGATCAACAATATAATGTTAAAAATCAGTAACTTATACCTTTAAATATGTACACCTTATTAATTTTATCTCCCTAATAAAGCTGTTTTAAATTAGAAGAAATGGCTTTACACTCCAGAATAAAGTAGCACTGTGCCCCAGGGTAAATATCTAGAACCCTACCTGCTTAGTACAGAAGAGAAACTGGAAGAGTACTTTTCATACAAATATGTAAGACTTGTATGGGCATTGTATAAAAGTTAAATAATAGAAAAAACTAATTCAAAGAAATGCAAAAGTATTCTTTTTAGAGACAAGATATATCTGTGACAACTAGTTAAATTTTAAATGAAACAGGTAAAATAATTTTGAAGTGATTTTTTAATATAAGGAATACAGTTCTAGATCTATTATGGTGCTGTTTTTCCAACTGATATTTACTTTATTTGGGCTCTACTGAGAATCATGATGTTTACAAAACGTGAGAATACCCTTGGTATGTACATAGGGATGTACATAGGACAAAATTTTAACTTGAATTGTAGATACGGTTTCTTTATCCAAACTTACATTTCCTTTTAGTGTATTATAAAATTACTAAATGTAAGTCAGTAGAAATTATAAAAATATTACTGGCACAAATACTGAAATGTGAGGAATTGCATTCATCACCTATGGCAACTTTAAATGATAATGAAATTGGAGCTTTATTTTAAAAGGAGATTCTGTTAAATATGTTGAAAATGGTTTTCTTATTACATAATTAATCATATAAAGGAATGAATTTGAATTTGTCTTATGACTTACCTTTCCTAACATTCTGGTCTAGCAACATGGAAATATTTAAACCATCAGTATGTTTATAGGAACTTGGCATTTAAGTGTTGAACACTTGTTATCATAAAATGATAATTTCTGTATTTGTTCATTTGGTTTTCTTTTAATTTTAGCTGCCATTGAAGATCGACATCATTAAACATCCAAATGAAACAGATGGTAAAAGTACTGCTATACATGCCAAGCTCTTAGCACCTGAATTTGTAAATATTTACACATACCCTTGTATTCCAGAATATGAAGAAAAGGACCATGAAGTAAGTAACATATTTTATATATAAGTTAACATTCAACCTAAAAATCAATTTTAAACTTCACTGTCTTTCCAAAATTACTTGAACATTAATATTTTTCTAAATGAGCTAAGGTTGTCCTTATGTAGGTCTGAACATCATATAGTATCTTTCATTGGTGTATTCATATGTCAAATGATCCTTGGTACTTTTGTGTTTTTGAATTTGCCTTTCTACTTGCTTTTCATTGTTAATTCTTCAGATATGTATTTTTTTCTTTATCCATTCTTCTGCTTATACTACACATAGATGGTCTGATTTGATGAAATTGAGAAATCCATATTACAAAATTTACAATTTCTCCAAAAGAAAAGAAGATAGAAGGATCTTCAGTAATTCTTCCTAAATTAAAATCTTTAGTAATGGCCTTTATAACATTTGTTTTGGCAGTTTAGAGGCTTTCCTTTCTCAGCTTTAGATTATTAATTGGTTTTCAATAGTTGATATTATTCCAGTGAACTTACTGAAAATTAATATTACAATAACACTCAAAAACTAGAACTTGGGTTCTAGGGAAAACATAAAAATTTACACATTCACTTGTTCCAGAAAGAATTTGGTTTTCCTTCCTTAATAACATTGTTTTGAGTTTACGGAGAATATTTTGTCTGCAGTATTATCAGAGTTTTGGATTTAGGAATACATTTATGGTCCTTGTATGGTCGGTTAGATATAATTTATATCAGTTAAACAGAATATAGTGCATGGTTCTACAAAGAGATTTGGTGTGCTTCTAATCAAAGAAAAATAAGTAACCTTGGGATTTTCTAATTGGGCATGGGGGAAATACAGTATAGGTACACAGTAAGAATATTTGAAAAACTTACAATTTTGAAATTTATAAATTAAAGATTTTTTTCCTTTATTATGATTGTTTTTGTAAATTTTCCATGTTAAAAATAATACATTCTTGCTGAAAGAATTTGAGAGTTGGAGCAAAATATGGGAGCTAAAATATCCAAAAAAAAAAATGTAGTTCTACCAGCCTTTATGCATTTAACAAATATTTACTGAATGTCTGTTTTGTGACAGAAGATGTTCAGACATTAGAGATCTAGCATATAAGATTTTAATAAAAATATGGTGAAAGATGGTACCATAATTTATAGAATTATTCCTTTGAAAGTTACAGTTTCTAGTTTTTTTTTTCTAACTTTTTGCTATCATAAATATATCTTAACACATTTTTGGTTATTTTGAGGGTATATGTATTTAGAAATACTTTATTAAGATAAGTTCCCATAAGTGAAATTGCCAATTCCTTTTATGAAATGTTATACTATTTAAACCTGTCATTAATAAAGGTCATAAAGGCCTACTACACCATTATCCTCACTAACATTGTAAAATAAATTGTATCATTTATCTTTGATTATTATAATATAGGTGAAAACAGTATTTATATATGAATGCGTTTCAGCAATTCCTTTGTGAACGTTTATGCTTTGCTATTATGGAATACAACAGTTTTTTGAATCAAGGTACAATTAACTTGGCTTCTACTCATAGGTAAATAATGTACTTTTAGGTAGTACTTTGTGATTATAAGTTACTAAGGAAGAACCAAAAACTCTACCATACATATTAATGAAGCACTTATAGTGGAAACTAATACTTATTTCTCAGCTATTCATCGCATTTTTGTCTCAGAGTTTTAAGTCAGTCATTCATTTTGATTATAAAACTTAATTTTCTTACTTAGGTTTGTCTTAATTTTCTTTAGGTTGCACTTGTTTTTCCTGGGCCTAGGTCTGTCTCAATAAAAGATATTTCTTTTCATCTGCAAAAAAGGATTGAAAATAACATTAAAGACAAAAGTAACCCTGACACACCATCTATTAAGCGCAAGAAAACTGAGGAAACAGATTTGAATGACAGCAAGTGCAAAGCCACAACACTGAAAAAAATAATATTTATAGATAGTACTTGGAACCAAACAAACAAAATACTCACTGATGAGAGACTTCAAGGTAAGGGCAAAATATGTTGTGTTCTTTTAAATTGTTTCTTCCTCAGACCTGTACTTCAGAGAACTTTATACCTACAGATATTTTGGAAATAAGTTATATTCCATTTTCTTTTTCATTCTTTTTGCCACATTTGTTTTCTTTTTTCTTTTAACACGTGCATCCTTCGATGTTACAGGTATTTTTTTTGAACTTTACAGTAACTCATTCTTAAATAACCTCTATGTATATCTTTTAATAAAGACATTCTTCTATATAATTATAATACCACTGTTGTGCTAGTAGAATTAGCTGAAGTTCTGTAACATGTAGTAAACAGTAAAGTTTCACCTTTCTCTAATTTACCCAAAAATTCATTTTTCGTAACATATTTTCCCTCTGATGCAGCATGTGTATTCACCGTCTATTTGGTTATGTCTTTTAAATCTCTTAATCAAGAACAGTATTCATGTCAAACTTGTATGAAGAATCAAGATTAGATTCAGTGTAAATATTTTGGAAGGATACTTACAGTAAGGGTAAATGAGGGTAGTCTAAGATAGTTCCAGTTTTATTATTTTATTGTAACTATGAAGAACTTTTTCTCTCAGAAATGAAGAACCTGTCTAGCTGATAAATTATACATCTTCCCTATAGGAGACGCTGTATACTTAATATTGCATCAAATCAGGAAGAATATAAATATAATATGTAAGTTAATACATTAATGGTGATAAATTAATTATAGTGGTGATTGATAGATCTTTGTGTTATAAAGATTTATTTTCCTCTTTGTAATTACTAACTGGTAATGCTTTGAGATTAGGAGCTGTATAGTTCCCTTTTGCTTCTCATCAAGTGGTTTTAGCATTCATTGATAACTCTTGCATGAATTAATAACTATATTGCGATTACAGAATGATGCAATTTAATTTTTTTGTTTTTACATTTGTCAACATTTTTATGTAAAAAGTTTTCCCTTTTCTCCTTTTTCGTCGTCTCTCTCTCCAAACCCCACACCCCCCATTCCTTTTGACATCACTGTGGTCTTATGGATTTTTTAATCCAGTATTGTATAATCTACTGTGGTTATATAGTTTTTATTTTGATATTCACATTATCTCAGATTTTGCCAGTGAGTATTCTTCATGCCCTTTGTGGCCTTTTAAGTGTTTCTGATACATGTCTTGAGTTCACTTTATTTACTTTTTTCCTGTCCATACCTAGACTTGGTCATTATTCTAAGGAACCAAGGTTCTTTTTATAAACGATGATATGGTAAATTTACTACTAAGATGACAATAAACAGGAACACTACAGATGTGTCATTGTTTAGTGGAGAGAGCTAAGAAAAATCAATATATGATTTATTAATATATAAACCTATATATCAGTATTTAACAATTTAACATTGGGGTTTTTTTTTTGTTTGTTTGTTTGTTTTTGGTTAATATTTGTTTCTGTTTCTCTCTGAGAGTGCAAGATCCTAATGATCATTTCAAGAAGTTGCTCTACATTCCTGGATATTATTCCCTTTTTCCCTTGCACCTCATTCAAACTTTTTTAGTAGACCTTGTCAGTAATTTCTCTAAATGCTTTAAATTTCTGTACCATGTGTGATTAAAGGGAAGAAAGCTACCCAGATAGTAGTAAACAGTTATCAAAGCAGTTTCAACTAGATTGAGCTTTTCCCAGGCTAAAGTGTATATCATTTAGAAAAAAAAATTTATGATGTTTTTTGGAATCTGATTTGTGGTATTTAATCTCAAGCATGAGTGACAAGACTAGATATAATGAGCTTTATTTATAAAGTTCATACCTCTGAAATCCTCATACTTACTAGTAAGATTGTTTTGTCGTTCTATTTGTATGTGTTTGCGTGTATGTCTAGGGGGAAGAAAGAAAGACTACAGAGACTAAGACTTGTAAGAATCTTGCTGCTAATGTTGAATAGAGAGTGAGCCCTAAGGCTCTGCCCTTTGGAGCATTGCCTACCACATTACCTTGGATGGTAACAGCAGCAAATTACAGTTCATGACAGTTCCAGTTTACATAATTTTTTTATAACTATTAGTAGCATTCCCTTTTGATTTTTTCTGAGCCATTTTTCTTTAAAATTACCTTATATGGCAATTTAAAAGATCAAATGAAACAACGTGAGTACAGTTGAAAAAAACTATAAAAGGAATTATTGAGGTAAATTTCAGTATCTGTTTTCAGAGTGTCATTTATACTTAAGGCTTGCTTAAAATCAGCTTTGTACAAAATATTAATATTACTCCTTCCCAGATCACATAGAAAACACAATATATTTAAGGAATTCATTTTCTTAAAATAGTGAAATAAAGATTACTAGATTCTGGCATCTGTGCATATTCTACCTTAACTCTGCTCCCCCCTCCCCACCCCGTTGTCTTCTCCTTACAGTGAGGGATAATTGGGGCTCTGTACATATCTATAATGTTTTTGTATGTGAAACAAATTACTTCTGCAAGAAACCACCTGTGTTTTTTTTATAAATCATTGCCTTTATGTTCTAAAATATTATATTATTTGATGGAATAGGCTAAACAAACCAATTCTAAACTTCAGTTTAAACCTTCAAATGTATCATATGATCATGAATGTTGAGATTGAGTCCTCTTAGCAATGTATAAATATATACTATTTTATCAAATTTTACAGAGAAATAGGATTTTTCACTACTGCCACAGTAAAACTCTTAAAGGTGAATGCCTAATTTACTTATAAAATAAAAGGTGAAAGTGAAGAGCAACATTTTTTTTGAAGTTTCGCCTTAGGAAACATAGGGAGCATGCAGAGGGGAAGAATGATTTGTTTTGTTGTTGGGAAGTTCAGATTATTAAAGCTGGTGTTATACTTTAATTGTTAGAAAAATTAGCTAATTCTCTACCTTGATTTTCACTGTATTGACACAAAATTTAAAGTGACATCTTAGTTCACACTATAAACATCGCCTAAACTCTACTCAGTGTGTTAATGGGTAGTATGACATATATTATATACTCTTACCTGGTCCTCACACAATTATACCACTGTAGCTCAAAATTTTTATTCTCATTTTGCAGCATTTTGTTTAATTTTTTTAAATTTTGTTTAAATTTGAAAGGAAAAACCACTAGTAACTAGCCGCCTTAAAGTTTTACTGCTAAGGTTTTTAGTAATTTTACCTTAAAGTTACTGATTGTCAGAAATACTAGCAAGGTAATTTTAAATGCATTTCCTCTTAAAAGGAAACATTAATTTTCTGTATAATCCATTGTCTATTTCAGTATGTTTTAAAGGGTTCCATATATGTCTGAGCAGATCTTTACTGCAGGATGGATTAGTGGCGATAATTACTAAATCTTGATTTTATATTTAACATTTTTCAGCCTAATAGATACATTATTGAAACTATTACCATTACTATTACTTTTACCTGTTTCTTTTTGTTTTAGAAATTACATTAATGATGTAAAAAATCCTATATTAAGATTTTAATTGCACTGATTTCTTAGAAGATTTTCAAGTGTCTGCCTTTATTTCTTGGTTACATAATACATATAGTTCAAAAGGGTTTGGTTTTGGTGGTTTTAACCTTTGTGTTTTTTTTAATCAAAATTATTCAAATTGACATAATTTGAAAATTTCTAGATAAAGCATTTTAAAGGCAGAATGGCTTTTGCGATTTATCCATCTTTCAGTAATATTTGATGAATATGTTACTGGACAACACTAGCCTAGATTCTGGGGACACAAAGAAGAATTAAGCAACCTCTTTACCCTGATTATAGTGGCTACTAGGGTTGTGTTCCACTGCATTTAACATAAATTCAACTAGAATCCTAAAACTAGTTTATTTTTTACATGTGAAAGCTCAGAAGTGACTATTTCAGGACCTAGTACAAGAATTTCTCAGTGCCCTGAAGGACATTTTCTTTCCCCATCACTTTTATCCTCATACTTGTAAGATGGTAAAGCATCCCATACATAGTCCGAGCAAGACAAGGCTAGGAGCAATATGTATATGCCAGTGAGTCCCTCTCTCTCACACTCACCACACACACACACACACACACATACAATTATTAGCCTCATGGAATTCCACACAAGAGATTTCATTTTCTTTCTTTGGCCAGTACTGGTTCACATGACCACCCCAATGGAATGCAGAGCTAGGAAGTTGAATATCTTTTTTATGGACAATGCTACACTGAAAAGAATTGTGATTTTTAATAAGAGAGAACAAAGTGAATACTGAGAATGTGGTGAGCATTATTTGCCACATAATTATGGGAGACAGAAAGGTAAACAGATAAGAAAGTTCAGAGAGTTCAAAGAGCAGCAGAGAGGAGACGTAACCCACTTTTTCTGGAGTCACTGGAAGGTGGCCCAAAAGAATTACTGTCTATTAAAATCTTGGTGGAGCAAGGAGTGTAAAGCTGGCATTTCAAACAAGATAAATGGCACAGGTGTTAGGATATAAAAATCTTTTTGGCTTTCATGAGATTGAAAAGTTGAATAAAGTATAGAAAGCCTATTTTATATGAAATTAGGAAAAGAAACTGGAGAAATTCAAATATTCAAAGTCACAGGGATTTTGCATTTTATTCATAGCTAATGTGGTATCATTAATGAATTTAATGCCACTAACTCCACTGTGAAAAACAGGCACATGTATCAATACTGGCTAGCTCAAAATCTAAGCAATTTAATTGTGTGAAACCTGTACTTTTCAAATAAATGTGGAATCCATTGAATGGTAGAAGTCTTATAGTTAAATTTATCAATCTAACTTAGATAACTGACCAACAAAATGTATGTGTCCCTCTTGTTAAACATTTGCATTTTTATTAAATTCAAAACAAAACAAAGATGAAGGCATCTCCTTTATGTGTAAAGGAGGGAACAGGTCTGCCATCTGACTTCCTGTCCTAGTTCTGCCATTAAATAGGCAAAGGTAACTTTTTAAGTATTATTTTATGAAACAAATTAGGTTACATATGAGAGTAGTTTTGTTACCTTCTTTATTTTCAGCCCACAAATTAGATATCACTGTTTTTGATATGTACACTCAGCATTTAATTGGATGTGTATAGATATTTACAATTTTCTTTGTGAACCTTTTTTTTTTTTTTAAGATTTATTTATTTGTACAGAACTGGGGTACAGGCCAGAGATGTGGAGGGTGAGAGGATTCACCACAGACAGAGTAGGGAGCAGAACAGGCAGATCGACAAAGTACACTGCTGAGGGGAGCAGCGGGCGGGTCAGGAGAGGTCTGCCACACCATGTGGTCACCTCTGGGGCAGGCGGGAATCGAACTCATGGGGAAGTGGCTTGAGCTTCTTAGTGCAGTGCTTTAACCCCCTGCACCACCAGGGAGGGCCATGAACCATTCTTTTAACTCAAATTGTCCTTGCTGAAAATACATTATTTAGAAATTTATTGGCTCTCCTATTGGTAGATGTTCAAGGTTTGTTAGTGTTTTTCATTCCTGTTCCTGAAGCATAGTTCTATTGAATATACAATTTTAGTTAGTGAGTTATTTTTTCTTCACACTTGAAGGTATTACTCCAGTTTCCAACATTCAGTTGTTGCTAATAAAAAGTCCGCTGTCATCCTAATTACCATTCTTTTGCACATAATCTGTTCAGTGGCCGCTTTTATAATCTTCTCTTTATTTTTGTCCCTTCACAGTTCTGTTACTGTGTAATGAATCTTATCACAGAATTCTTTGTATTTGCTCTACTTCAGATAAAGTGTTTCTTGTAAATGTAGTTTTGCATTGTTTAAAAGTATCTGGGAAAAAGTCAGGCTTTCTCTTTTAATGCTGTATCCCCTCTTCTGCTTTTCTCTGGAACTCTGGTTAGACATTCTAGTCTCCATATCTTAATAGTTTCCATATTATTTTTTGTCACTCTGTGCTGTGCCTCAGAGGTAGATTTTAGGTTAAATTGATTTCTGATTGTAAGCATTTTCTGATGGCTGATACTTATTTAATGTATTTAACTGTATTGGAACTGGGAATGAAGGATTTTTGTGGTGCTCCTAAATAGGAAAATCCTTAAAATAATTAAGAGAAATCTCATTGTTGCCCTGCTATCTATGGTTAAGAAGAAATATTCTTTTCTTCCCTTTTTTTGGCAGGGTTGTTACAAGTTGAATTGAAAACAAGAAAAACTTGCTTTTGGCGTCATCAAAAAGGAAAACCAGATACCTTCCTTTCCACAATTGAAGCTATTTACTACTTTTTGGTTGACTACCATACCGATATATTAAAAGAAAAGTACAGAGGACAATATGACAATCTTTTATTTTTCTATTCATTTATGTACCAGTTGATAAAGAATGCCAAATGCTCTGGAGACAAGGAAGCAAGAAAACTTACCCATTAGCTTGAAAGAAACCATTAATGTCATTTTATTTTTGCTAAAACCAATAAATGTATTGTGCTTTGTTTATTCTTAAGCAATATTACTTGCTTGAAAGAATTCAGTTTCATTCATTTTACCTTATATTCTTTAAGAAGAAGTTATGACTAAGAGCATTGCCATTGATCATGTGGACTGAGAATCATTTCTTAAGTTACTCAAGTTTGGCATAAAAATTTTATTACTACATTTTCATGTGTTTATATATATGTGGCTAGTTGTAATTAGACATTTGTTTAGAGATTTTGATATCTTCCCACTTATACTCACTACCACCTTTGGAGGTTGGTAGTATCAGAATCCCCTTGACTGAAAATGAAGTCATAAATGATTTATTTTAAGTTAATGGAAGACATATTCAGAACTAGCATTGTAGCTTCAGGCCCTAAGTGCTCTTTCCTAAAGTCCACACTGACTGTGATGGACCTTTCTTGTTTGTTTACATCTTCCTGGCATCTTCTTTAGGGAAAAATTACTAGCAATCATGCACTGTCACAGGAATGGACATGTGAGTCAGTTTAGCAAGTAAAGTGCCCAACAAATGATTCAGGGATGGACATATGACCTAGCATCCTTTTTGGTAAATGATAGGAATGCTATAAAAAATTAAGGTTTATTTTTCAGAATCCCATATGATAAAGTTGTTGAAGCACAGAATATGAAGTCAGTTTTTCACCTCTAAAGAGAGTTGTGTCGCTACCCTGTAGGGTTATGAAGTATGTCAGTGTACATAAGGGGCTTTCAACAATGCATGGCATTTAGGAATCTTTGCATGTGTTTATATTTGTTATTGTATTTGGAATGGTGAACTAAGCATGAAACAACCCTAGAGCTGCTGATGACATCTCTGCCGCAGGTAGCCAGAGCCTACCCTAGAATGGAGCCAGCAAGGGAAAGCAGGCTGGAGAGATGAAAAGAGTGAGTCCTGAGACATCATTTAATCATCTAATCTAGCTGCTTTTGAGTGGAGCCCTACTGTGCTGGATGGCTTCTGTTTATACTTGTGGATCCTCCCTCCACTTTTTTCTATTTTGCTCTTTGCTCTATGAGATAGGTCCCTTGCTCTTTCACTTTTGGGTGGTTTCAACAAATGGGAAGCCTAGCAGGAAAATGAAATTGACATGTTCCCTGACTCTTGCCAGGTCACCATGATTTGGCTTTGCTACTCTACTGAAGGTCATTCTTCCCAAGTAGTTATCAGTTACTCTCTCTAGTTTCAAATCCCTGCTCCTTCTACTTTTCCCAGGTAGTTAGTAAGCCTAATATTGTCGCAATATTTGAAATATTGTAATTTACAGCAATCCCTGATTATATTTACCTGGTACTGAGGCCTAAAAATACAAACTAACTTGCCCATAGTCATAGTTCACACTAGTTAATAGGAGAACTGGATTAGTCTGGGACTTTGATTTAGTAAGGTCATTTTATTTGCTATTCATTAAAAGTAATGTGGATTATATAAAGTTTGAACATTATTAGTCCCCTAGTCTTAGCTAAATAAACGAACTGACTTGCCTGTTTAGTAGTTCTTTTACAAGAACAGAATTAAAATGGATTTCTTCATGTTTAGAACTTGGCCTTGGGAACAGAGGAAGGCCTGAACTGATTTAAGTGAGGCCAAAGTTGGATTTCTCTGGGCTAAATTTGTACTTCCCTGAGCCAAATCTATTGCTATTTACTGGCTTTACAAACCAACTAGACATTACAGTTAAGAGGGAGAAGGAGAAAAGAATAATTTTATCACTGATTTGCCCCCCATCTCACAGCTGTTTTAAGATAACCTGCATATTTCAAGAACCTAATTTACAACTAAGACCAGATAATATCTCAAGTTCTTCCCTCAAAGTGATGATACCCTTTAGAACAAAGAATTGGCTTTACTTGTCTTGTTTTTCTTTGGTATGATAGATTGCAAAAATGGTTCTAATTCTTTACTCCTCTTTGTATTCATGGTTGTTTTTTTATGCTCCTTTGAAGTACTTTCTGATTCTGGGCCACGTGTATTTTTAAAGACCTAGTATATTTCCATTTACTTTTGTATTTCTGTGGTTGCCATAAACACACGCATGCCTATTAGCCTTCTGGAGGATAGAAGGCAGGGAGCAAGTCACCCTGGCAACCCTAATTGAATCCCAATTAGATGGGCTTATGGCTGGTCAATCACCAGATATGTAAGTGATCCCAGTCAAGATTAGCTGAGTTAC